AGAAGAAACCAATACATGACTAAATTCACAAGTCTAAGTTCGAGAAAAATTATGAAAACATTTTTTACGTCAATATGTTCACTTACAAAAACAAAAATGATAAATCAAAAAACGTGAAAATTTAGCCACTGGCGTCAGATTTATCGTAAACAATTTCTAAGTTTTTTGTAATGTTATAAAATGAAGAAATCTATGGATAAATATAAAATGCCTCCAGAATTATTTTGAACAATGAAAATCCAATTGATCTCAGATACCCACCACAAAGTAGTGAATTAAAATATGGTGAAATTTCCAAAAAACAAAACTACATTTGGACAAAAGAATTTTTTAAATTATTTTTTCTTTGCTTCATAAATCGTCCAGAACAACGTGTCATAAAATTGGTGTGCCATTTTTTGAACATCTTGCATAATATTCTAGTTAAAAAATACTAAGTTGTGTGTTACGCCTTCTGTATAGTTGAAAATCATTTTAGGGTATATTATTTTTTAAAGAACTTTACTTCAGCCCTTGACTATTTTTTTTCTATTTCTAAAAGTAATTAATAATATACTGAGGAGCTTGTGTTTAATAACTCATTCTATATCCTTTTTGCATGATAATTGTATTAAAGATGAACAAAAATTAATTTATTTTTTAGACAGACCAAATTTCGCATCAAATCTATGTATAATTACATCTTCAGTTAATTAACTGCAACAAAATTCTGAAAACAGGAAAACATTTTTTGAAAAAATAACCAAGTTACATAAGTTTGTACACAGAACACTTCTATACTTCTTAAAGTAAATTTTTCATAAATTTGTGACCAATAGAGGAACAATTTGTTTACTGTGTAATGTTGGTTGCAAACTTTAAATGAATCTTCCTACAATTAATTTCAAGATATTTAGAGGTTTACAACCTCTACATACCTTGATTAATTTTTTAAGGAGAGGAAATAATCACGCAACCCAAAAAGCACGTCCCATCAGTTAACGCGCCGATTTCACTTTTTTAAATTTTGCATCAAAGTATCTTGTTAAATTTTGACAAGGGTTGCATGAAAATCAACAAGTTGTTTTCTTCGCCTATACTCCCAGTGAACGTCTGTCACTTTATTTTACAAACTAAAATTTTTCATTATTTATTTTAATAAAATTTCAAGGTGTCTTTAGTTTGTGTATGGTGTGTTGCATAATTGTTACCGCTTCTTTAAAGAATGAACTGTACCATCTGATCGAAAAAAAGTCGTTTAGTGGGCCATGAAATTTAGTTTTATAATAACGGTTGTTCAATTGAAAAATTACTTAGAAAAGGCCTTAGAATTTCATTTGACACAAACGGCATGTCTGTTCTTAAAACATCCATAACGGGGTTTGGCACCCAGGGCGGTTCTCTATTAAGCACCCCCCCATATAAAAAATATTCTGTGATGTTATCAAAATTTACTTTCTTTCCTCTCTTTTCTTTTATCAATTTCAATCCTAAAAAGTTTGTTTCACATGAAGCCACCGAAACAAATGGTTCAAAAACTTTAGACAAAGTTCTACAGTAGCGGTCATTTCTACGGAACCACTCGATAAAAAGTCAAGTTGGTAGCCCTGTCATCTAGTACTTTACGCCGAACGCAGTTGGTAGCGGCAGTTGATATGGCAATCGAAATTAGAACAACACGAATGTTTCGGTTGCCCTTAGCTATGCCGCACTGTATCCGGTACAGACTGTATATTCTGTTCATCTATTTATTAAAATAAAATATCTACATTGACAATGGGGCCATCTAACCTGTCAAATTTTTGACACATATGTTTCCCCCAGAAACCCGTCAAGGTCACTTACACCAAACAAATTTTGAAAATTTACACTAGGGAGTGGTTCTATAGAAAAGATCGCGACTTTAGACTCGGAACATATGAATCTGAAAAGCTTCAATGTAGTCCACTGAACCGCTTCTTGAGAAGAAATGCTGGCGGCTTCCAAGTGGCGCCTCAGTCGTAAAATTTCCAAAATTGTCCTATGTAGAAAATTCATCGTAAATTTTTGTCAGATTTGTAACTATTTCATGAACAGCTTTTTTTGATGACGTTAGCAGTGGAATTTATAAACTTACCGCTGCAGTTGCTGTTCCTGCTGACGTTGCTTTTAGGGCTGAACATTGTCATTTATAAACTCCGATGCCAAGTTGTCGTTGATAGTAACTTTGATGTTCAATTTTTGCCGTATTTAAAGGGGTTGTAGAAGAAAAGTGGAGGATTTAAGTTGATTACTACAAAAATTTACCATTTTAGACATGTTTTAAGTTTCTTATTGTCGAAATAAGTCTACACACCCTAAGAAAACAGGCAAAATGTAGCCCCGCTCACCCGCCCTATCTCAATTGTGATGATTTTTTTCTTCGTCGTGAGCCAAGGGGACGGAGCTTAATTGCAAAATCCTTATTTCTTTGCGAGAAATTAAAAAGATGTTTTTGAGAATCGTGTTGTTCAAAGAATACTATGTATATTAAGAAAAAAATAAAGCCGAAGATTAGGCCCCACCCATACCCGCCCCGATCTCAATTCTCAATTGTGATTAATTTTTCATTTGTTGTCAGATCGAGGGGCGGGGCTTAATTGCAATATCGATATTTGTCTACAAGAATTTACCATTGTAAACATGTTTTAAGTTCCTTGTTCTAAAAAGACAACTACGTATGTTAAGAAAAAAGACAAAATAAAGCCCCGCCCACCCGCCCTACCTCAATTGCGGCCTTTTAAATGCAAAATTCTTATTATTTCTCTCTCTACAAGAAATTACCATGTAAGACATTTTTTGAGTATCGTGTTATTCAAACGATACTATGTATATTAAGAAAAAATTAAAAACAGTTTGTGATCATACATATTTTTCTTTTAATTTTAGTGAAATTTTTGCATGATGTGTTTTTAAAAATCAATATCTCAATTATTAAAGGAAACTTCAGAACACGGTTTTTAACACCGTTTTCAGCTTACAAAACTTCAGAAATCATACTAGATCATGGCCGACTAGTATAAAGATTATGGCCTGTCCAAGAGGTACAAAGACTTCAAATATATATTTCAAGTCTTTGAAGAGGTACCATACGTGTTGCCATCTATTAATAATTATTAATTACACTTAATAAGTTAGCAAAATTTTAATTTGATTTGACATTATGAGACTTCAAAACGGGTAATGGTGGTTTGTTTTGGTATGAATGCCTTTGTGCCTTTTAAAAAGTGTTAATAATTCTTTTGTCGTTTTTGAATTATTAATAGATGGCAGCACGTATGGTACCTCTTGGACAGGCCATAATCTTTATACTAGTCGGCCATGACTAGATATATCGCCAAATTTTTTTTTTTATTAGAAACAATACACAGTAAAAAAAACTTGTGTCATAGAAGTTGCTAACTTTTTTACTATATCTTAGTCCCAACAAATAAAGTCAAAAATAGACCCAGTACGATTTATAAAGTTTCGCAAGCTGAAAACAGTGGTGACAACCCCTTTCCAAGATTTCCATAAATAACTTAAATATTGATTTTTTAAAATACGTGATGCAAAAATTCAACAAAATTTCCAAAATATATGATAATAAATGAAAAAGCTGCCCTCGCAATTATGTAGTGAAAGTTGTGGACAAGTTACATTTAACATTTCATCACCATAGGTGTGTTAATAATGGAGATATTACATTCTGAAAATACAGCGTGTTATTGAAAGGTACGTACAACAAAATGGACAGTTCTTCGCGAAGTCTAAGAAGTCGGAAAAACTTACTTTGTCTTATCAAAATTTTAAGGGGAAAATGAACCCTTATCCAATCTTTTTAGACGCTATTGAAGGATAAATAGGTAAAATTAATTTATTTTAGTAAATCCTAGCAACTGTAACAATAAAACTTTTGTCAAGACTAAATGTTGCTATAGAAACGAAAGATGATCTTTTTATCAGAGGCGTACAACGAATTTGGACATAAATTTTAATAATTTTTATCTCTAAAAGGAGAACACTTTTACCTGAACTTTTTTTAACTTTTAGCACCCATACTTCGAGACCAATTGTCGATTTTATTTTGTACGTACCTTTCAATAACAGGCTGTATATTGACATCAACACCATAAGAGCCAAACGTAACGACTCCGCTTAAACACGTGTTTCATTATTTGTGTTGAAGAGCATAATACCAAGTTCAATTTATAGTAAAAATATTGTTCCTATACAAACTTATTTAGCCATCCGAACTTAGACACCACTTTTCACCCTCTTTGGGGTTGAATCTCGAAAAATGCTGAAATACATGTTTCATTATTTGTGTGAAGGTCCTATACAAATTTTACCACCCCTTTTCACCCCTTAGGGGATGATTAAACGATGCCTCCAGCATAAAATTAACATCCTCTCCAAATTTCAAATTTCTATTATTAGGGGTTTAGGCTGGGCGTTGATAGTTTGATAAGTAGTCGGGTACCACCGTGGTCGACACATTGCTTTTTATATGCCCACAGTTATTTTAAAAATAAATTTCATGGCCGAGTAGAGAACATTTTTTTCTATCATGTGGTACCATTCAATGTACATTGTCTTATTATCTGAATTACTATTGCCATGGTCAGATTTTAAATATAGAGTAGTCCACGAGTCAGATATGTGTTTAAAGACTTCAGTTTTCAGTACTACAAATGTGGTACTAAACAGAATGAATTTAGTATTCTTCTGTACCAATTTCAAGGACTTATTCCTTGATAATTTCTCATATTTTTCTGTTCGTAACTTTTTGAATCGAAAATTTATTAAAAAAAGTCATAGATTGTTAATTATCTAAAAAAAATCTTCAGAATATTTTCGTTAGGTCACCATTACGGAAACAAAAAAAATATTGTATTCTTTTTTCAAGGTGACGACCAAATGACCCCTAGTCCCGAAAACTCATCACCATCCCCTCACTACGAACCAAAAAAATCTCTGCCTACCTAAAATGCACGATGACACTATAATGCCTTTTGACATTCTCCGTCAAACCCAAAATTTTCGTATGTCAAAATGTTAAACCGCCCATTTTCATCAATCAATACGAACATCTTCGACGAAACAACCCACAATTCCTGTAAGTACTTCATTCTAAAATCTCCCACATCTAAAATCTCTATCTAGCTCCTGCTACTCTATGTGGTCAGAACGTTCTCGTCTCACAAGAACAACGCCAAAAAGTTTACAACACCTTAACCACTTCCATCGCCGGAATGCCTGCATATTCAGGCCACTACCCTCCAATACAACAAAACTATCCTAACCAAATTATGATGCAACAAAACTATCCCAATCCCGTCACCTTTACTTTCAACCCAAACCATTCTGTTCTTCCGCAACATAACTGCTGGCAGTGCCCTCCTACAATGGGAACTCTAAACCAACTACAGCAGATGAATGCTATAGATATGTTGGCGCTACAGGGCCAGTTAAACGAACCATATAGGTGTAGATTCCACTTGGACAATCAAACCTCGACTTCTGACTTGTCTAAAGAAAATGGTGAGTTTTTGGGAAAAGTACTAAAAACGTGACGGTGGTTTTTAGTTCTTAGACCCGATTTGAATAATCTTGCGGGGATTTTAAAGAGTAAATGGCCGTACTGGCTGCAAGCTCCCACCAATAGAAATGTTTGCCTGTTGTCTTTCGTGATTCTCAGTTTTCATAAATTGTTTTGTTAGCACAAAAAACTAATTCTTAGAAATGCGATAGCCAAAGTGGAGGGGAACGTCTACGATGACGTCGACAAGCAGGACGAGGCGAAAAAAGTCAATTTTGACTTAAATACCACGAAGGACGCGGTCTGTCAAGCCGAATTTGGTTGCAGTTGCTGTCAGAACCAAAATAATGGTATGATTTATATTTGTTCAGCTTGGTTTTACATTGTTTTCTAGATCCTCAACCAAAGCCAGCAAAATCTTCAAAAAGACGCAGGAAAAGTCGCAAGCGGGGTGGAAACTTCTCGGAAGAGAGTGCTACGGAGGATGACGATCACGAAACTGACAAACTGTAGTACTTATTTTATTTTTCATAATCGCAAAAACAAAATTTGACGTGACGTTTAAAAAATGAGAACAGGAAGTAAAAACACTTTTGAACATCTTAATACTTTTGTGAATGGGCGCTTTGAGGAACTCCGGTACGACCATGAAAGCTTTTGTAATCAGTTGATTGGGATGACCGAGACGCTGAATTTGATCGTTTCTTCAAGAACAAAGGTGATAATTGTGAGTTGCTGACAGTTGTTTGTAAAAGTTTTGTAGCTTGAGGTGTTATGCAACCGTTTGGTTTTCTTAAAGCAACACCAGGAGTGTCTCGACGGTGTTTTAAAATTAATTGAGAAATGGGAAAATCAGTGGGACGAAACCATATCCGGTTTTGAAAAGAAGTATGAATGTTTACAAAGTATTGAAGATAAGTACAGGAGTTCTATGTGAGTAATTTACGAAACAGTACTACCATTGTAGTTTAGTTTTGACATTGCAGATAAAATTTTCACGAATTTGAAGAACTCCTATGAGGTGATTGAAGGTATTGAGAAGAAAATTTCCGATTGTGTTGAGGCGTCAGAAAAAGAACCGGTAATGCATTATTATGCGTTATTATGTAGATTGGGCTTAACATGCTAGTTTTAAATTCTCTTTTTAGGTCTTTTTACTGTTCCAAGTTTTTAGCAGGAACCTTCGTTTATTAGAAAAACTATACTCCTACATTCAAAAGTTGAAGTACTGGACCGACGTTAACGAAAACTTTCTAGTAAAACGCTGTATTTGTAACAGGATTCTTTAATTTCTTACGTTGGCTTCTCTTCGCCTCAACGTTGGTCTTACAAAATAAATAATTATAGAATAAATTATTAACACTACAAAAATTATGGCATGTACTATTTTGTAATCTACGGCTTCAAGTAAAGCATCGAAAATGAGAGTGTATATTATTGTAAATAAATAAATAACAGAAGTCAAGACTGAGCAAGCAGCTGCTTCTGGTACTGGATACATGACTTCTGTCGCAAATTCGAAGCCTACAAGTAAAGTGCTTGCTATGAAGAACCTGAAAAATATTATAAAGGTATACATGTCTTTGAAAATGATATACTTACCCAAATATTGGAATTGTGAAATAGGTTGCTAACTGACTTTCTAACTCTAGAGAAATAGCAACGAAAATGTAAGTAATTGCTGACAAGAAAATAACGAAAAAGGAAGTCAGTCTAAAAAAAGAAAGTTATACACATATAGATTTCAGTTTAGGTTTGAGATACTTGAAGTGGTGCCATTTATCGAGGGCATAACCGAAAACCACGCTACCTAAACATCCTCCTGCGGCTATGGCTATGGCACTAATTATTCCAATTTCACTTTCATAACCCTAAAAATGATAAAACATGAATGATGAAATACCTATTTAATTTCTAAATAACTATATTTTGATATTTCATACATAGGTTTCTAACAATTCTAAACATACTGTATTTCAGTTTAAGTTCTAATGTGTACAAATAGGTAGTATGAAACTCAGCCAACTCTAATTCATTTTATTTTCAATCGTTCAATTCGATACAACAAAGTAAAGGACCTACAGTAACAATAATTTTATCCATAGTTGGATTTGGATTTATTAGCTGTGAGAAAAACAATTTTCTCATACAGCGCCAACTTGAGGATGTTTTTTATTGTTGCAACTCATTTGCTGCTCATGCCGACTTAGGTCGCATAAATTTGCCTGAAATCTAAAAGAATGAGTGTCCCAATTTTTAACTAAAATTTTCCTTTGGTTGAAAGTTGTAAAAAACTATTCCAACTTTATTAAGATTAAATTGGCCTCTCCCAGTAATAAAAGTTTTGCTATCTCTACACAATAATGCTACATTAGCATTTTCTCAATCGTTGGTTTAAGCATTGATTAAGTACATATGTTTGTACTTTTATTTTATGGTTTAAGCAACAGGTTTTCATTCCAACAAGATCGCATAATTATACCTTTTTTAAACAACCTTCATTTTTTTACCAAAATTTACGACTAGGTTTTTTATATATAAAAAAAAACCTGTAGGTGTGTGTGAGATTATACTCGGCTTTTACTTTTTTACTTATTAGAGTGGAAATACTAAGAGAATAATGTGTTGAACCCTCAGAGCTTTTACTGACGGCGTATCAATTTTAATTTGAAAAGGTAGAATTCTGCCTCCTCTATTTTCATACGTATGTGTATAAACATGGATGATAAATACTGGTAAACAACGACAAAAGGAACGCAACATTATTTACGTGCGTTCTCTCAGTCTTCTGATTCTTACATAACTGACATTATTATTTAATGAAAAATCTCGTAGCGGAATGAAAATTTCACTACTGTTAGCATGGTTCCTTACAAAAAAAGAGCTGAAATTTTGCATAACAAAGTACAAAATGAAAATAAAAATTGTGTATCCATAGAATTCGAATGACAAATAGATAATCAAGAGAAAGTGCAAGAAAACACACAAAAATCCGGAGACTTATTATAAAACTTCTATAATTCAGGCTCGGGAAGTAAAAAAGAGCAATAGGTACGGTACAATGTTGTGTTGAATTTATTAACATGGTTAATATGTCATCTGTCAGAATAATTATGACATTTCAGCTTTCGTTGCTATTATAATTAGGTACACATTCCGAAAGAGGTGGAACAAATCATTGCCCACTTGGATATTAAAATCATTTATGAAAGCCCTCTAATAAATTAAATGTTTAGAGGAGGAGAAGAATTGGCGTTTTTTTGTTATTATTACGCCATTCTATGGAAAAAACAGTTGCCTTGTTTTTCACATATCTATATCATAACAAGATTAGGAAAAAAATCATAACCAGTTTTTATGAATAATTGTACCTGACATTATATCGTGTTATTTATAATGTACATATAATTCCCTATTTATAACTAAATACATACTTAGATGTAAACTGACTACCATTCACACAACACACATATATGACTATTGATTACCATATGAAATAAAAAATCAAACTTTTACAAATAATTAACGCATGACCTGATAAAAATCTTATTTTGCTAAACTAAACAAAACTGGCGCTTACCGGAAAATACTTGAGGTAGACAGGATTTAGAATAATCCCAAACGCAGTATACAGTCCGTTACTTCCCCCAAACGCCACCCCCAATAATATATAATCTCTGTTCGTAGCCATCGCCTTCAAAAGCTCCCAAGTTGAAGGTGTCTCCACTTCCACAATACAAACTTGCGATTGACTTGGAGGAAGAGGTGGTTTCGCCCTAAAAACTACCTCCCCATATCAACCCTTCCTTCAACTTCCATACTTACATATTAAAACCAAAACTAAAACCGCCACAGTAATTGACGCATTAATAATCACCATTATAAGAAAATCGTGTCCTATGTCGTCCATATTGTCGCTATTTTTCACAACATGTGATCCAAAAATGCTCCCCATGGCCACCCCTATTTGAGTCCCTAAAATAGCGATAGCACATGCTGTGGATACCTCTTCAGCACCGAACCACGTTGACGCTAGCTTGGAGGGGATACTCAGCATGAAAACCTGGGCTATCGCACATAGAATCTGACCAATCAAGACAACGTAGTAACGATCCCGTGATGCCGAGAGGAGCTTGATTAGGCTGCCTAGGGCGGTCATGCCAGTACTCACTATAGCCGTGATCCTTAAATTCTAGATATGGGTTCATGAATGAGTTTGGGGTTGGAGTGATGGGGGCTTACGAATTTTTCGATGATGTAGTTGATAGGGAGGCAGAAGACGATGAAGCAGATCATGAAGACTAAACCGGTTAAGTCTGTGAGGGTACTGTCTACATCGTAGTATCTTAAAAACAGGAAAGTCGTTACTTTTGTGTTTGTTATGATTACGAGTTTTAGGGCAGCAGAATAAATTATAAAGTTTTTTCGGTGACAACTTTAATTAAAGTAATCCCAGTGATAAGATTGGCATCAAATAACTAAAAATTTAAATATGGCACAGGTGTGTTTTGAACTGATTTTTTTTGTAACTAGGTACTTACACGTGTGGTTTACAAAGGACTGTATGATATAAAATAGGACAGGACTTAATATAATATGTAGTAACTTACTTTGTGGTAATGTTTGAAATGATGGTATACTGAAGGAACTGGAAGAAGTTGACCGACGAGTAGAGACAAAAAATTAACAGTATGACCCATCTATATTTGTACACTTTCACAGAATCGTTGTCTTCTGGTTGTGGTTCCAGTTTCTGTTCGTCCATGATTTCTGTTGTGTTACTACTTCACTAATAACTTTGATTGATTGATGTTCTCGAACTTGAAACCTTTTTAAATAGATACTTTCTGTTGATCTGTTGTCTATTGTTATTTTTATGCACCTGGTTTTTGAACTTATCGCTAAGGTAACCTACATAGCGCATTAGAGGTTAACTTTGTAAGCGATGATTTTTACCAACACACAACTATTTAGTAAAACACTTTACGAGCAAACTTCAAGGCTACTGGCTTATTAATGCAATTGAGACAGTTGTGTACATAATTAAATTGTTGTAGTTGATAGTAAAATCATGATTTTTAGGCACGATAATGTTATCTCATTTTTCAAGTATTTCCTTATCTCTAAAAAAATATCTACTCGTATGCGTAATAGATAGATATGGTCATCAGCTTAGTGGCCAAGTATGAGTATACTTGAATAACATATTTAAGAATATGATTTATAAAGAACTATATTGTGAAGAATCTATAATATAGAATCAAGGTCTGTACCTGTGCTTACTACATGTATGTGATTCATCATGTTGTTAGCTAATCCAAAATCTAATCTTCATAAAACTGTATTGCATGTCCATTAATTGAAAACTGAATTTTTCTTTAAATGACTAAAAAATTTTCCATAGATATTTACTCTTTTTACAAAGTAGGTAATTAATGAATCATTTCAGTAATTATATGATAAAAAACAATGAAAACAATGTCGTTTGTAGGTAAGCGATTTTATAGTCGTAATCGTTGTTTTTCTTTGTTATGTAATAAATCGTCAGTACATCAAATGACAAATGACTTTTAAGAAAATTTCAGCAATCCCTGCATGCAAGGTCACACCGCAACGTTTTGAAACCCGGATTTTCTTATCGACAATATAGTAGTGACTTCCGACCACAAATCTTTTTAATGTAGAAGGCTAATTTAAACTTAATTTTGCAACGAATTATTTAATTTCGTGTTTAAAATAAGTATTCTTGCGTTTAAAACCACACCTCAGCACCGGTGTATGCTTTTTCAGGAGTAGTAATTTTACTTTTATTGGTTTTATTTAACAAAAGTTGTTTTTCGGCCTTTGTATTCAGGACGTTATTTTCTCATTTTATGTAGTACATTGTATTAAAAATCGATGTTAAAGGCAGTTGGTCAAGGCACAGCTGCAAGAAACTACAATAAAAATTGTAACACCGCATTCGACCAACAACACCAAATTTTGTCCAATCCTTATTTATTATCATATTTAGATCCAAATTTTTCAACTTGTTGCTTTAGAGTCAGTCTATTTTTACTTCCCAAGAATAAGCTAAGGAAGTATTGTAATCGGGTCTGTCTGGTGTCTGTATAGATTTTTATTAGACACACAATCTCCGAAACTAATCGACTGACTGTTGTCAAATTTTGTACGTAAATATATTAGGAACATCATGTAGATAGTAAAACGTTCACCAAAATTTGGCTAATCATCCTCACCACGAAAGGGATGACGTCATCTCCAAAATTTACAATAATATATTTTTTTTAATTTTATAAAATAAGATACTTTTGCACTTGTGGTGTATGAATCTGTCTTGAGTTTTCAGCCTGGACATCGAGATTTTTGGGAAAAAAGTCAAAATTGTATAACATTTTGCAATTTAATTTTGAAACTACAAAACCGAATACACTGAAATCGCAGACTTTTAAATGATGGTAAATCGTTATTCAAAATTTATTCGTTTATCCCCTCTCAAAAATTGATGACATGTCAAAATTTTAGTCAAATAATTCGTATCAAAAATGTGCAAAACATGACGAGTTTATATTTGTGATTTACCATTCCATTCATAGTTTTTAGAATTGCTTATACAGGGTGACAAAAAAATTTAATTTTATTGATTAAATCAGAAACTGCAAAACCGAATGTTTTGAATTCTTGTAAACGGTATAAAGTTATCGTAAGCATGGTAAATTTGTAATGAAAATACATATATCTGTTTATCTCCTCCAAAAAGTTGATGACGTCATCTCAAAATTTGCTGAATAAATTCTATCGAAAATGTGCAAACTATTTTCCCGAAAATTTGAGAATACAATACCGTTATTATTTTGCAAAAATATTAATGACATCACAAACGTTTATAAAAGAAAAGCTCATTTGAAACACACCCGTAGCACGCTTCTCTACATTTGCTTTAACATTGCATACATATCTTTATTTTAATTTAAAATTTTATATTTTTTTGAAAAAGTTGGATATTTTTTATTGTACGTCAAGGGCGTGGGAAGTTCTGTCGAAATAAACTTCGATCAATTTTTATTTTTACGCTTAGGTTATTCGTAAAAAATAAAATGTATCCGATAAAATTTAACGGCTCATGTAAGATATTAGATACAAGACTTCTATAAAATATGGCAAGACAATAAAATTAACGCAATAATTGCAAATCACCATCTAAAATTTAGTTCTTCATTCCTTCAGAAGAATGTTGAGGTCTTCACAGAAAATTATTTAATGAAAAATAAAAAAAAATGGGTGAATGAAGTGAGCTGTTTTCTTTCTATTCTTAATTTGGCATTAAAGAAGTGTATGTAGAAACCGCAGAAATTTGAATTAATGTACTGTCTTATAGTAATTAACACTTGCTTCTAATTATATATACTATTCTCGAGCCACATATTTTTTCTTTTTACTTCCCGAGCGTAAGCAAAGGAAGTATTGTAATCGAGTCGGTCGGCCGACTCTCTACTTTTACGTTTTCTCGATCTTTCATGACCCCTAGAAGACGAAGAAATAGGTCTCCCATTTCCGTCTGTCTGTCCGTCTGTCCGTCTGTCCGTCCGTCTGTCCGTCCGTCTGTCCGTCTGTTGTCCCGGATTTTTATTAGACAGATAATCTCCGAAAGTACTCGACCGATTGTTGTGAAATTTTGTACTTATATTAAGAATATCATGTAGATGGTAAAACGCTAACCAAAATTTGTCTAATCATCCCCACCACTAATGCGATGACGTCACTTCAAAATTGTACATAGTAAATGGGTTTTCAATTGTATAAAATAACATAGTCCTACACATGTAGTTTACAACTCCTAATCGACTTTTCACCCGAAACGTCCAGATTTTTGGAAAAAAAATCAAAATTATAAAACAACATTTTGAAATTTATTTTTAATCTGCTAACCAGAATGCTTTGAAATGTTGCAGATGTTTTAAGGCTATAAAGAGCATCATAAATTTTTAGTCAAAAAATATTTGCTTATCCCCTCCTCCAAAAACTTGATGACGTCAGCTCAAAAGTTTGTGGAATAAATCATATCTAAAATGTACAAAATATGATGAGTCTGTACTTGTGATCTATCACTCCATTCATATTTTTTGGATTTGCATATACAGGGTGACTCAAAAAAATTAATGAATGCCTAAATATATTTTATTGATTTAATCAGGAACTACAAAACCGAATGCTTTGAAATCTTGGGAATATTTTAAAGTTATTATAAGCATGGTAAACTTTTGTTCAAAATGTACTTGTTCATCCCTCCTAAAAAAATTGATGACGTCACCCTTAAATTTTGCTGAATAAATCCTGTCTAAAATGCAAAAAATATGATGAGTTTGTACTTGTGATTTATCATTCCATTCATATTTTTTAGATTTTCTTAAGAGGTGGTTCAAAAAAATTAATGAAGTCAATTTATTTTATTGATTAAATTAAAGGCAACACTTATTATTAGTATTACACCTCAACCAACCCAATTTGGTAGACACAAAATTTGTTAAAGGAAAAACTCGGTTGAAACATAAGGGTAGCACGCTTATTTACATTGACTTCGACATTACAGACCTGCATTTGTTTTATGCGATCACTTGGTTCCGCGAATGTGAAATAGACATGTTTATAATCAACCAATTGTGAATTTCACCGTCAAGAATTAAAATAAAACCCAATGTTTTATATAATAAGCGGAAGTCGAAGCAATAAAACCGATGGTCGTTTTGTTTACAGTTTCTCTGTTTGACTCTCACGTATGCTGTTACGCTTGTCATCTTAAATTAAGAATGTTTATACATAAACGATTTTCAGTTGCCGTATACGTGAGTAAATTGTTTCGTTATTTTATTGATTATAAAAAATCAATATTCAAAACGACCCAATTCATTTTCCCGAAAATTTGGGAATACAATAATTTTATTCTTAGTATTACACTACATCTATCCCAACTGATATACGTGTCCTTGCAAAAATGTTGACCTCATCGCAATTTTTTTTAAATTCCCACTACAAAAATGTAATGAGAAAAAAACACAATAGTCATGCAGTCGTCAAGTTTCCGACAGCGAGGGAAGTACTGTCTAAACTCTTTAGACCAATTTTTTATAATCTGCTAGTACGCGTAGACGATTTGTTGTGTTCAAGAGCATTATTACCAAGTTTCAAGTAAAAACGCCATAAAAATATTTTTCCCATATAAAATTTGCACTTTTGACTCGCTTAGGGGCTGAATCTCGAACAATGCTAAAATACGTTTTTCATCATTTGTGTTGAAGAGAATTAATATCAGGTTTTCAGTAAAGTTTTTTACGACAAAAATATTGTTTCCCTTACATACCCCTTTTCTCCCCCCTTAGGGGTTGAATATCGGAAAATGCTTAAATGCGTGTTTCATTAATTGTGTTGTGGTGACCAAATTTGAATCAAATTTTCGCGCTGAAATTAATTAATAGCGCAGCGGCGCGAAATCACAGCATGGTGACAAGACGCTGTAAGTTAGCTAGGTTAAATTAGTTGGTTTGGCAGTTAATAAAAGGGAAGAAGCCGAAAATTAATCGTAACGATGGCATCCAGTTTTCCCCAACCCGTGCAGCTAATTCTTGCGGCTTTCTAATCGGAAAAGTGCTAATTTTCGACCGACGCTACACGTGCTGTAAATTTGTTTTATTACTGTAAACTCACCGATCAGGTTAGGATTTTAATCGTTAACTGGTGCTAACACAATTTAACAAACACTTACTAGGAGATTTCTTGAAATTCACTTAGTCAGGATAACACCCTTTGTCTAATTATGAATAAGTTTCTGGATGCTAACACGTCAGTGTTATATTATAACACTTCTTAATTCTTCACACAAGATTGCTAACAGTTCATTAACCGCAGTTAAATTAACAAAGTTCATTACATCGTGAATTAGCGGGGGTTAAAATAATTTCTTTCCTTAGGCAGTTATCATCGTTATTGTCATCGTTATCATCATTACAACACCAAGGCATTTCTTCGCAACGTTAAAGATTGGTTATATCACCGAGGCATTTCCTCGCAACGCTTAAAAAATATATGGATATTTTTTGTGTTTATTTATTATGTGTTTGAGGTAAGCAGTTCACGATATAAAACTTCAAACGAAGTTGTTTAAGTAACCAATTACTTGGATCATGGCATAATGTAACATAATCGTTGTTTGAATCGTTGATAAAGGGTGGCAAATATTAATCTCATGTAAATTTGTTAGGTTTGGAATTTTTCACCTCAAACAATATTTTTCTACCTCACAATTTTAACCTCAGTAATTTTCTTTGTTGTATAATTTAAGGACAAACTTCTTCTCTACGTGAACAATCATTCGCCCCACCATTTCTTATGCTTCAGTAGCCTGGAGTTTCGAGCCTTCCAAAACCCAATTTCATCGTCTGGAAGTCCTCCAGACAAAAATTCTCCGACAAGATTTCAGGACTCCCTGGTTCGTCAGAAACAACATCCCTTCTATGTATAATCCCTTCTTCTCATCTTTTTATCTGAGGCCCCAAGGACAGGTTTGTACTAGTTATCTTATGAAAAATCTAACTTTAAGAGCAAAAAATTTCGAGTTTTTATTGGAACATGAATGAAAACGCAGAAAAAATTATTATTATTTATTTTAATAATTAAAAAATTGAGATCGGCAAAAATAAATGGGTAAACATTTTAGTATTTAGTGTTAAAAACACATTCCAAAAGGTTATACAAAAATCCATTCAGTGGAATCGGGTTCCGAGGTATAAACCTTACGGCACTCCACTAGTAGTGTTTTATTCAGTAAACGGAAGTCAGAGCAATAAAAAAGTCTGGACCGTCGCATTGTCATCCGGTCATTGCAATTCGAAGAAACCATGTTTTAGTTTCGTTTGTATTTCACCGTCACGTCTACAGGTTGATAAGTGTTATGGCTATTTGTCTTAAATTACAAGTACTGTACAGGGTGTTCATTTTATCTGTTCACACCTGACAACTTTTGTATAAGCAACATATTATACACCCCAGAGACGACTTCGTGCAATTTAATTTTTTTTAATACGCAATCATAGCAATCACAGAAAAAAATCACAAAGATGTCAATGACAAAATCGAAAAAATTAATTCAATTTATTTTAAAATGCCCCGCTGTAATGCGAAAAAAAATAATAGGCATGCAGTCGTCACGTTTAACACAGCGAGGGAAGTACTGTGTAAACTCTTTAGATCAATTTTTACGTTCCGAGCGTAAGCAAAGGTAGTATTGTAATCGAGTCCGTCGGCCGACTCTCTACTTTTATATTTTCTCGATCTTTCATGACCCCTAGAAGACGAAGGAATAGGTCTCCCATTTTCGTCTGTCTGTCCGTCTGTCCGTCTGTCCGTCTGTCTGCCGTCCCGGATTTTTATTAGACAGATAATCTCCGAAAATACTAGACCGATTGTTGTGAAATTTTGTACTTATATTAGGAATATCATGTAGATGGTGAAACGCTAACCAAAATTTGTCTAATCATCCCCACCACTAATGCGATGACGTCACTTCAAAATTGTACATAGTAAATGGGTTTTAAATTGTATAGAATAACATAGTCCTGCACATGCAGTTTACGACTCCGAATTGAGTTTTTACCCGAAACGTCCAAATTTTTGGAAAAAAAATCAAAATTATAAAACAACATTTTGCAATTTAATTTTGAATCTGCTAACCCGAATGTTTTGAAATGTTGCAGATGCTTTAAAGCTAGAAAGAGCATCATAAATCTTTAGTCAAAATATATTTGATTATTCCCTCCAAAAACTTGATGACGTCAGCTCAAAAGTTTGCCGAATAAATCCTATCTAAAATGTACAAAATATGATGAGTCTGTACTTGTGATATATCGCTCCCTTCATATTTTTTGGATTTGCGTATACAGGGTGAGCCAAAAAAATTCATGGATGCGTAAATTTATCTAATTGATTTACTCAGGAACTACAAAACCGAATGCTTTGAAATCTTGAAAATAGTTTAAAGTTATCATAAGCATGGTAAGTTTTTGATCAAAATGTATTTGCTCATCCCCCTAAAAAATTTATGACGTCACCACAAAATTTTACTGAATAAATTCTATCTAAAATGTACAGAATATGATGAGTCTTTTCTTGTGATTTATCATTCCATTCATATATTTTTGGATTTGCATATACAGGGTGACCCAAAAAAATTAATGAATGCGTAAATGTATTTTATTGATTTAATCAGGAACTACAAAACCGACTGCTTTGAAATCTACTGCGAAAAAAAACATAATAGGCATGCAGTCGTCACGTTCCCGACAGCGAGGGAATTAGTGTCTAAACTCTTTAGACCATTTTTTTTTACTATGATAGTTTCTGTGTTTATGTTTTAAAGTCGATCTTCAGACTTATCAAATCTGACTCATTTTCTCGATTATGCTTTGCACCTTTACAACAAAAAGTGGGATTTATCGATAAATTTATTCTGAAATTGCCTCCAACCTAGAGAGATATAATATATTTAATAGCCTTTCAGCATATAAACCTAAAAAAAACTTGTGGGCAAATCTTGAATTAATAATCTATGGAAATAGTATTTTCAGGATTAGTACAATGACTTGATGTATTGATGTTTACAAGTAAGGAATAAATAAAATTTAAAGCTAGGCGTAGTTTTGACTCATTATAGTGGTAGGAGTAAACTGACTAGTTTTTAAGAATTGGCGCCAGTAAAAGGACAATGTTATTGCAAATTAGCAAACAATCAACGAAAACGTAGACATATAGTAAAAATAATAACTACGTAGAATAAAATCCCAAGGACAGAATCATCCATATCGCACGCACTGTACGCGCCGAAATACATTTTAAATTAAGCTCAGTGAGTTTTGTATATACGTTAAGTGTAAACGTAAGTGGAAGTGAAATTTATATTTATATCTAAGAATGGAAGGTAAAACTGTGATAATTACTGGAGGAAATAGGGGTCTCGGAAAAGAAACAGCAAAGACGTTGGCGAAAAAAGGGGCAAAAATTATATTGGCGTGTCGAAATTTGCAAGCAGCATGTGAAGCCAAAGGTAAGTAAATATTTTTTCTGACAAAATTTTGTAAGAACTCCGTTAGAGGAAATAATTCGAGAATCCAAAAATACCAATATATTTGTCAAGCAACTAAATATATCATCTCTGAAGTCAGTTCGAGCTTTTGCTGAAGAAATAAATTCCAGTGAGGAACGTCTGGACGTCCTTTTACACAATGCAGCGATCGTTCCAGAAAAATTACAATTCACTGAAGACGAACTGGAACTAGCGATGGCAACTAATCACTTGGGTCCCTTTCTGTTAACGCATCTTTTGATTGGTGAGTTGTTTTTTTTACCAAACCGCAAATCATTTGTCGACATTTTCAGAATTGTTGAAAAAATCCGCCCCCAGCCGGATTTTAGTCACAAGTTCGGTCACTTATCACTTCAGTTCTCTGAACTCCAAAAACTTAAACCTGAAAACTGTACCGTTTCTTAAAAGTGTCAGAAGCATTTATTTTGATTCGAAATTCGCCAACATTTGTTTTACTAAGGAATTAGCACGCCGCTTACAAGGAACCGGTGTAACAGCTAATTGTTTTCATCCGGGACTTGTAGATACGGAGATTTGGACCAGAGCGCCTTCATTCTTTTCATGGCCTTTGGAGATTTTTAATAAAATGTTTTTTGTGACAGTTGAGAAAGGAAGCGAAACTGGAGTATTTCTTGCAAGTTCAGAAGACGTTGAAGGGGTTAGCGGGAAATATTTTGTGGACTATAAACAATGTCGTTTATGGGGAAGCGTCAATAACGAAGTGAAATGGAAGGAAATGTGGGATGTTTCGAAAAAATTGGTTCAATTATCTATCTCAGATTCGCACATTTGAATGTGCGAATTTGTGGTTACGCAATTACATAAATTGTTATTCCTTTTTATACACACTTAACACATACGTCTACAACGGATTATGTAAGCTGCGTAAGATTATCACAAGGTAGAAGAGTGTTTAAAGTTATAATAAATTAATAAGTATGTAATTTTCTCACATGACTTTTGTACTTAGTTTTCGTGTTTCAGGGACTAAATAAAAGCTTTAGATCTAGATATTACAAACATTTTTAGTTTTGGATTATTACTATTATTAGCGTCCACAGGTTTTGGTACCTATAGGTATAATACAGGGTTAGTATAAAGTCCCGGAACGGTCGAATCACTTTGTTATTTGAAAAGTGTTTTTACTTCCCGAGCGTAAGCAAAGGAAGTATTGTAATCGAGTCCGTCGGCCGACTCTCTACTTTTACGTTTTCTCGATCTTTCATGACCCCTAGAAGACGAAGAAATAGGTCTCCCATTTCCGTCTGTCTGTCCGTCTGTCCGTCTGTCCGTCTGTCCGTCTGTCCGTCTGTCCGTCTGTCCGTCTGTCCGTCTGTTGTCACAGATTTTTATTAGACAGATAATCTCCGAAAGTACTCGACCGATTGTTGTGAAATTTTGTACTTATATTAAGAATATCATGTAGATGGTAAAACGCTAACCAAAATTTGTCGAATCATCCCCACCACTAAAGCGATGACGTCACTTCAAAATTGTACATAGTAAATGGGTTTTCAATTGTATAAAATAACATAGTCCTACACATGTAGTTTACAACTCTGAATCGACTTTTCACCCGAAACGTCCAGATTTTTGGAAAAAAAATCAAAATTATAAAACAACATTTTGAAATTTAATTTTTAATCTGCTAACCAGAATGCTTTGAAATGTTGCAGATGTTTTAAGGCTATAAAGAGCATCATAAATCTTTAGTCAAAAAATATTTGCTTATCCCCTCCAAAAACTTGATGACGTCAGCTCAAAAGTTTGTGGAATAAATCATATCTAAAATGTACAAAATATGATGAGTCTGTACTTGTGATCTATCACTCCATTCATATTTTTTGGATTTGCATATACAGGTGACTCAAAAAAATTAATGAATGCGTAAATATATATTATTGATTTAATCAGGAACTACAAAACCGAATGCTCTGAAATCTTGCAGATGTTTTAAGGTCATAAAGAGCATAATAAATGTTTAGTCAAAATATATTTGCTTATCCCCTCCAAAAACTTGATGACGTCAGCTCGAAAGTTTGCCGAATAAATCCTATCTAAAATGTACAAAAAATATGGTGAGTCTCTTCTTGTGATTTATCATTCCATTCAAATTTTTTCGATTTGCATATACAGGGTGACTCAAAAAAATTAATGAATGCGTAAATTTATTTTATTGATTTAATCAGGAACTACAAAACCAAATGCTTTGAAATCTTGCAGATGTTGTAAGGTTATAAAGAGCATAATAAATTTTTAGTCAAAATATATTTGGTTATCTTCTACAAAAAACTGATGACGTCAGCTCAAAAGTTTGCCGAATAAATCGTATCTAAAATGTACAAAATATGATGAGTCTGTACTTGTGATTTATCATTCGATTCATATTTTTGGATTTGCATATGCAGGGTGACTCAAAAAAATTAATGAAGGCGTGAATTTATTTTATCGATTTAATCAGGAATTACAAAACCGAATGCTTTGAAATCTTGGGAATATTTTAAAGTTATTATAAGCATGGTAAACTTTTGTTCAAAATGTATTTGTTCATCCCTCCTAAAAAAATTGATGACGTCACCCTTAAATTTTGCTAAATAAATCCTATCTAAAATGCAAAAAATATGATGAGTTTGTACTTGTGATTTATCATTCCATTCATATTTTTTAGATTTTCTTAAGAGGTGGTTCAAAAAAATTAATGAAGTCAATTTATTTTATTGATTAAATTAAAGGCAACACTTATTATTAGTATTACACCCCAACCAACCCAATTTGGTAGACACAAAATTTGTTAAAGGAAAAACTCGGTTGAAACATAAGAGTAGCACGCTTATTTACATCGACTTTAACATTACAGACCTGCATTTGTTTTATGCGGTCACTTGGTTCCGCGAATGCGAAATAGACATGTTTATAATCAACCAATTGTGAATTTCACCGTCAAGAATTAAAATAAAACGCAATGTTTTATATAATAAGCGGAAGTCGAAGCAATAAAACCGACGGTCGTTTTGTTTACAGTTTCTGTGTTTGGCTCTCACGTATGCTGTTACGCCTGTCATCTTAAATTAACAATGTTTATACATACACGATTTTCTGTTGCCTCTGATACGTAGGTATACGTGAGTAAATTGTTTCGTTATTTTATTGATTATTACAAATCAATATTCAAACGACCCAATTCATTTTCCCGAAAATTTGAGAATATAATAATTTTATTCTTAGTATTACACTACATCTATCCCAACTGATATACGTGTCCTTGCAAAAATGTTGATGACGTCATCGCAATTTTTTTTTAAATTCCCACTACAAAAATGTAATGAGAAAAAAAACACAATAGGCATGCAGTCGTCAAGTTTCCGACAGCGAGGGAAGTACCGTCTAAACTCTTTAGACCAATTTTTTTTCTGAAATTTGCTTTGGATATACCTATAGGTAAAGATGGCGATTTGATTACAACATTTTTCCTTTTCTTATCGCTCTCGGTTTGACAGACAGGGCCGGCTACTTTTTTTTTTAATGGTACACCCAGATTTTTTTGATATTTTCTGAAGCAGAATAAAAAGCTATTTTCAGAAATGATCAATATGTTATATAATGTTAAGTAAAAACTGTTAGTGTGGCGACCTATGTGTTCCTCCACTGTGTCGAAAGATCGTACTTTCGCGGTCTTTGGGCAACCAACCAGCGGACGGAAACAGCTACTTCCCGGACAAAAGCCCCGCCGGACGCTGAATTATACCTGCCTGCATTGTCGCCACTTTCGCGGATAGCGGCCGCGTACCTCTAAATAAATACCGATAAACACTTTGCAATTAAGTAAAACATTTTTGCTTTTACTTTCCGTACGTTAAGTGAAATATTGGGATTGTGGTAGAATGACTTTCTTTTGATTTATGATAATACTAATAATAATAAAAAAAACTGGACTGTTTTTTATGCTAGGGAACAATTTTTGCCTGTCTATATAACTCATTAAGAAAAGTCTATGAAAAATAACGAAGAAAAATTGTAAAGAAGTTCTCATAAATAAGTATGACAAGCTAGAGTAATCCGAAGTCATAAACCCTTTCGAAGAAGGGGGGGGGGGAGTCTTGAATCCAGGGTATCCCTAGAAGCGAGAAGCGAGCCTATGTAACAATCATTACATTCTAAAATTAATAATTTACAACTTAAATTGTGTAATATTTTTTCATAAAATAAAAAATAATTTCATTTTTGACAAATGAAATGCAAGCGACAATTCGATGAATTCGAATCTGTCAAGCGTCAAAAAGTGACAGTTGACATTGTTGACATTTAACCAAAAGAGGTTAGTTTGGAACGTGTAGAAGTTGCACCACAAAACTGCTCTAAAGTTTGTACAAAATGCCTGTGGCTGAAGAAGTGAAGTCCAGTTGGGCCGATGAAGTCGAATTGGAGGGTGGTTCGCTGCCACCCCCTACAGAAGTGTTAGATAACAGTCTCAAAGTAATCACCGAATACTCGTACAATGAAGACGACAAAAAAACCAAAATCGTCCGTACATACAAAATCGAGAAGCGCGTTGTGTCCAAGTCGATCGCCCTACGCAAAACTTGGAAGAAATTCGGCGAAAGCGCAAACGACAAACCTGGACCGAACCCTGCTACGACTATCGTAGCGGAAGACGTGTACATGCAGTATATCACGAGTAAGGAAGAGGACAACAAGCAGGAGGACGAAGGACTTGATAAACTTAAAGGTAACGATTTTTTTTGTGTTTGACCATGCTAATGTGAAAATTCTAGCCCTTGGAGACAAGAACGTTGTAAAATGTAGAACGTGCAGCGGCGATCATTGGACCTCCAAGTGTCCCTGGAAGGACACGATGCTGGCAGGAGGAAAAGTGCCTGACGACAAGAAAGGTCCCGCAGTTGGGGGGCCTTCAACTGGAACGGAGACCAGTAAGCCTGGCGGTTCTAAGTATATTCCACCAAGCATGCGCGAGGGGGCTGCTAAGAGAACCGACAATCTCAGTATGGCGAGACGGGATGATGCGACGGCTATTCGAATTACTAATCTCAGTGAATCTACAACTGAAACTGATTTAGAGGATTTAGTTAAACCATTTGGACCCATCCAGAAGTTGTATTTGGCCAAAGATAAACAAGCGGGTTATTGTAAAGGATTTGCTTATATTCATTTTAAATTTAGGAATGATGCTGCTAAGGCTATTGCTATGCTTAATGGACATGGGTACGATCACCTTATTCTTACAGTTGATTGGTCAAAACCACATCCAAACTAATGCTGTAACTATTTATGTATTTGCTATTCATACATATATTAATTAGAAATGTATATTTTAAAATGTGCGTTCCATTTATTGTCGTGGTAACATAATAAAGTAATATGTAATTAGAGAGCGGATTTTATGAAATTTGCATTTCCCTTATTTTTTGCATATAAGTCTTTAATATGTGAACGAATCATGCTAATTAAAAATTAATACAGCTATAAAAAAATTGCATATTTGCATATATTTGCTTTCGGCTGCATATTTCACGTAACGGGGGCATATTTTGCATTTTTATCAATTTTTGTGGTAATTTGAAAAAAAAATGTCATTCTATCGGCATTTACTTATCTAGAAAGACGAAATTTCATGAATCATATTGCAAATATTGTCCTGAGCTTAAAATAACTAGGAAATGTTTGGGTTTTATGGTATTTTGGAGAAACCACTGGATGTTAAGCCATTCTTCCAGGTAAAGTCGGGCCCTAATTACTTTTGGAAATACCGTCCATTCCCAATATTTTTGTTCGTTACTTAAGTGTATTAAGGGGGAACGCTAGACGAGAGACAAGTTTGAATTGGGCGCCATTTGTTGCCTTAAACGCAACCAGCAATTCTTCTTTAAATCTACCTGACGTGGTGGTATAGACGACTACCGGACGTGGGTCATAAAAACATCGTAAGCCGATAATGCAGAGAATAATGATAATTTATGGCAGGCGGCCCACAACATACCTTCAGCACAGAATAATCATTTCTCGTATTCTTTTGACATTAATTTTAATATTCGAGATAATTATTATATTAATCAAACACAATTTAGAGACTGTAGAGCAAACAAGGCTTATCAAACCCGTCTATTAGTTTATTCGCCTAAATGTATTATTAATACCGTTTTCAAATTCCACCAAAATTGAAAAATCGAAAACTTAATAATTGAAAAATTGAAACATTTTAAATGAAAAAAATCGGTAAACCGAAAAATTGAAAAATCTATAAATCGAGAAACTGAACAATCTAAAAATTAAACAATTTAAAAATCGAAGAATTGGAAAACCAAAAAATCTAAACCCAGAACTTGAAAAATCGAATAATCGAGAAATCAAAACATCAAGGAAAACAAAAAATCAACGGAAAATCTAGAACTTAAAAATTGAAAAACTAAAATACCTATCGAAAAATTGAAAAACCGAGAAATCGAAACATCAAAAAATGGAAAAATTGAAGAACCGAAACATTGCAAAATCTCAGAACTGAAATACTGAAAAACTGAAAAATGGAAGGAAAATGGAAAAATCGAAAAAGTGAAAAAATTCAAAACTGAAATCTTGAAAAACTGAAAAATGGAAAGAAAATTGAAGAATCGGAAAAGTGAAAAAATCCAAAACTGAAACATTGAAAAATCCAGAAATCGAAAAATTGAAAAATCACAATTGAAGAAAGAATTGAAAAATCAAGAAATAGAGAAATGGGAAAATCAAAAAATCAGTTAATCGAAAAATTGAAAAATCGAAAAATTTAGAAACGTCAAAAATTGAAAACTGAAAAATAAAAAAATTAAAAAATCGTAAAACTGAAATATCGTAAAGTTAATAAATTGAAAAACTGAAAATTTTTGAAAAAAAAAATCGTATCAAAAACTAAAAATTCAAAAAATCGAGAAATTGAACAATCAAAAAATCAAAACATTGAAATCCCAGTAAGTTGATAAATAGGAAAATTTAAAAAACAAAAATTTTAAAAATCCAAGAATTGAACAACAAAAAAAATCTAAGCCTGAAAACTCAGAAAATTTAATGATCGAGCACAAAAAATCTAAAATTTAAAATTTCGACAAATTGAAAAATCATGGAACTGAAAAATCGAAAAGTCGAGATAGTGAGAAATCTAAAAACCTAAAACTTTAAAAACTGAAAAATTAAAATATCGAAAAATTTAAAAACCGAGAAAACACAATATCAAAAATTTGAAAAATTGAAGAAACGAAATATTGCAAAATTCCAAAGCTGAAATATTGAAAAACCTAAAAATGGAAGGAAAATGAAAGAATCGAAAGAGTGAAAAAATCCCAAACTGAAACATTGAAAAATTGAGAAATGGAGAAATGGGAAAATCAAAAAATTGGTCTAAAGAGTTTAGACAGTACTTGAATCGCTATCGGAAACGTGACGACTGCATGCCTATTATGTTTTTTTTTCACATTAGAATTCAAAGCATTCGGTTTTGTAGTTCCTGATTAAATCAATAAAATAAATTTGCGCATTCATTAAATTTTTTGAGTCACCCTGTATATCCGAATCCAAAAAATATGAATGGAATGATAAATTACAAGAAGAGAATCATCATATTTTGTAAATTTTAAATAGGATTATACAGCAAACTTTTGAGCTGACGTCATCAATTTTTTGGAGGGAATAAGCAAATATATTTTGACTAAAAATTTATTATGCTCTTTATAACCTTAAAACATTTGCAAGATTTCAAAGCATTGGGTTCTGTACTTCCTGATTAAATCAATAAAATAGATTTACGCATTCATTAATTTTTGGGGTCACCTGTATATGCAATTCCAAAAAACATGAATGGAATGATAAATCACAAGAAGAGACTCATCATATTTGATACAATTTAGATAGGATTTATTCAGCAAAATTTTGAGGTGACGTCATCAATTTTTCAGAGGGGATAAGTAAATATATTGTGATTAAAACGGTCCTGGTTTAATAACAAAAAAATATTGTTCGTCTATAAAACAAGCTCGTCTTAGACAAAGTATTCGTAAAAAAAATATGTCGTAAAAAAATTTACTTATGCTGGTCCCGACTGCGATTATGGTTTAAATATTTTTTAGAAAATCCTGTCATGGATGTAAAAACATTTGTGACAGCCAAAGAGGTTTTTTTGAGAAAATTATCTTTGAATTTAGACCAAATTGAAATAGACACTAGGCAACAGGCACATTTGGGTAAAAGAAAGAGAAATTAGGGTTACGGCTTCAAATTTTGGACGTATTTACAAACTTAGACCGACTACAGCAATAGCTAAAACTGTAGAGTCTCTGTGCATTTAGAGGTAATAGTCATACATACTATGGACAGCAAAGTGAGGAAAAAGCTGTCAAGTGTTTTGAAATAAATAAAAATGTAAAAACTAAACGGTGTGGCTTGTTTATTTCAAAACAATTTCCTTACTTGGTTGCTAGTCCAGACAGGGTTCTGGAGGATAGGAGTGCATTAGTCGAAATTAAATGCCCTTCAAAATCGCAAGATTTGTCTCCCGAAGAAGCGGTTAAAAAAAAAAATAATCAAATTTTGTACATTGACAGACAGAGAATTGAAACTAAAAAAAAATCGTAATTACTACTTTCAAGTCCAGGGACAAATGCTTGTTACGGGTATTTCACAAGTTTATTTTGTTGTATGGACACCCAAATGAATAAATATAGAAACAATTTATAAAGACGAAGAAATATATGTAAAAAGATGGCAGATAAACTTGGCAGATTTTACTTTGGCGCATTATTGCCCGAAATAATTGATTCAAGAAGAAAGAGGAACCTGCGCTTGCGAGAGATTTTTTTAAAATAAATAAAATTAGTTTCCATTTTTTTATGTACTTTAATAATAATTTATTAAGAGTACATTTTTCATCACCAAGACTTGCATATTTTTATTATAAATATATTTTGAAAATGATCTCTCGACAAATGAAAACATATACGAGCACTTTTTTCGAGTAAACAATGAAGGGAGAAGTTACTGGGCGTAGGGCTTTTTTAAAACACCTCCTTTCTGGGATAAGTAGTAGATACACTTAGCTACTTATACGTGTTAAACAAAAGCTGTATTTTATATATTTTTACTTCCCGAGCGTAAGCAAAGGAAGTATTGTAATCGAGTCCGTCGGCCGACTCTCTACTTTTACGTTTTCTCGATCTTTCATGACCCCTAGAAGACGAAGAAATAGGTCTCCCATTTCCGTCTGTCTGTCCGTCTGTCCGTCTGTCCGTCTGTCCGTCTGTCCGTCTGTCCGTCTGTCCGTCTGTCCGTCTGTCCGTCTGTTGTCACGGATTTTTATTAGACAGATAATCTCCGAAAGTACTCGACCGATTGTTGTGAAATTTTGTACTTATATTAAGAATATCATGTAGATGGTAAAACGCTAACCAAAATTTGTCGAATCATCCCCACCACTAAAGCGATGACGTCACTTCAAAATTGTACATAGTAAATGGGTTTTCAATTGTATAAAATAACATAGTCCTACACATGTAGTTTACAACTCTGAATCGACTTTTCACCCGAAACGTCCAGATTTTTGGAAAAAAAATCAAAATTATAAAACAACATTTTGAAATTTAATTTTTAATCTGATAACCAGAATGCTTTGAAATGTTGCAGACGTTTTAAGGCTATAAAGAGCATCATAAATCTTTAGTCAAAAAATATTTGCTTATCCCCTCCAAAAACTTGATGACGTCAGCTCAAAAGTTTGTGGAATAAATCATATCTAAAATGTACAAAATATGATGAGTCTGTACTTGTGAACTATCACTCCATTAATATTTTTTGGATTTGCATATACAGGGTGACTCAAAAAAATTAATGAATGCGTAAATATATTTTATTGATTTAATCAGGAACTACAAAACCGAATGCTCTGAAATCTTGCAGATGTTTTAAGGTCATAAAGAGCATAATAAATGTTTAGTCAAAATATATTTGCTTATCCCCTCCAAAAACTTGATGACGTCAGCTCGAAAGTTTGCCGAATAAATCATATCTAAAATGTACAAAATATGATGAGCCTGTACTTGTCATTTATCACTCCATTCATATTTTTTGGATTTGCATATACAGAGTGACTCAAAAAAATTAATGAATGCGTAAATTTATTTTATTGATTTAATCAGGAACTACAAAACCGAATGCTTTGAAATCTTGCAGATGTTTTAAGGTTATAAAGAGCATAATAAATTTTTAGTCAAAATATATTTGGTTATCTTCTACAAAAAACTGATGACGTCAGCTCAAAAGTTTTCCGAATAAATCGAATCTAAAATGTACAAAATATGATGAGTCTGTACTTGTGATTTATCATTCCATTCATATTTTTGGATTTGCATATGCAGGGTGACTCAAAAAAATTAATGAAGGCGTGAATTTATTTTATCGATTTAATCAGGAATTACAAAACCGAATGCTTTGAAATCTTGGGAATATTTTAAAGTTATTATAAGCATGGTAAACTTTTGTTCAAAATGTATTTGTTCATCCCTCCTAAAAAAATTGATGACGTCACCCTTAAATTTTGCTGAATAAATCCTATCTAAAATGCAAAAAATATAATGAGTTTGTACTTGTGATTTATAATTCCATTCATATTTTTTAGATTTTCTTAAGAGGTGGTTCAAAAAAATTAATGAAGTCAATTTATTTTATTGATTAAATTAAAGGCAACACTTATTATTAGTATTACACCCCAACCAACCCAATTTGGTAGACACAAAATTTGTTAAAGGAAAAACTCGGTTGAAACATAAGGGTAGCACGCTTATTTACATCGACTTTAACATTACAGACCTGCATTTGTTTTATGCGTTCACTTGATTCCGCGAATGTGAAATAGACATGTTTATAATCAACCAATTGTGAATTTCACCGTCAAGAATTAAAATAAAACCCAATGTTTTATATAATAAGCGGAAGTCGAAGCAATAAAACCGACGGTCGTTTTGTTTACAGTTTCTGTGTTTGGCTCTCACGTATGCTGTTACGCCTGTCATCTTAAATTAACAATGTTTATACATACACGATTTTCAGTTGCCTCTGATACGTAGGTATACGTGAGTAAATTGTTTCGTTATTTTATTGATTATTACAAATCAATATTCAAACGACCCAATTCATTTTCCCGAAAATTTGAGAATATAATAATTTTATTCTTAGTATTACACTACATCTATCCCAACTGATATACGTGTCCTTGCAAAAATGTTGATGACGTCATCGCAATTTTTTTTAATTTCCCACTACAAAAATGTAATGAGAAAAAAAACACAATAGGCATGCAGTCGTCAAGTTTCCGACAGCGAGGGAAGTACTGTCTAAACTCTTTAGACCAATTTTTTATTATTGTTATAAATATGTTTATTAGTTTTATTAATTAACAAAGCAAAATATATATTAACAATATATTACAATGAATTTTTAGTAATCATGTATATTGAATTCAGGATCCTGAGTGGAGTAAAAATATTATAGTTCCCCAGTTTTAATTCGGTTTTATGATAGTACCTCACTGCGTAAAAGTTAATTTTCTTAACAATAGATTACCACGTCCGGTCCTGGCGGCTTGTTATAAAACAGAGTTCCTTGCCATAAATTAGAAAAATCAGCCGAGAACTCTAACAATCAGCTTATGGTAGAGGAGGCGATAAGGGTTTTACCTGGAAAGTCGCTTCCGTAAATTTTAGTGGCGCTCCTATCGGCAAAGTACTGAACTAACTGCTCAAATTCTGTCGAATTGATACCCATTTTTTTCAGTAATTGTTAGTTTTTGTTAAAAACTCTGCTAACCAATAGATCATTAATTTTTCTCTGATATTCCTGTTAAAATTATTCGACGTATTTTGCATTAATTTGTGGTATATTTTGATTTTAATAAACACATTATTATTTAAACAAATTGTACCACTAACAAACATTTAATGACTCTGCGCCCTGTAAAAAGTGATGTTTTATCCATGTGCGAATTTTCAAGCGATTCTATGATGCTTATGATTCAAAAAACTTGAAAAGAAAACATACAATGGTGCTTTTTTTACGATATTTCTCAGCCATATTTTTTTAATTGATTGAACTGGTCTCTGCGCTCTAGAATATGAAAAAAGCTGCAGTTTGATGTATGATATATTAATATCATTTTTTCATATAAAAAACCAAAAAAATGTTATACCTCGTCTAGCGAGTCCCCTTAATTTTGATTACCAAATAAACATACAACTTCTGAAACGAGTGTTTGAAATTAAGGATTTGGGGATAGTCTTCGATGCGGCACTCTCGTTTAAGAGTCATTATTCTTACATTGCTAAAAAGGCCTTAAAAATGTGGAGGTTCATATGGCGAATATGTATAAAGACCTATCACCGCTGTCACTAAAAACGCTATATTGCTCATTAGTTCGATCGAAGTTAGAATATTGCTCTCCGGTGTGGACACCGATATATAAAGTTGATTTGGAGATGCTGGAAAAAAATCCAAAAAAGATTTTTGCGTACGATAGAATTTAAAGTTGGTCATAGGCATATTATTGGGGACTACAGCTAGGTTATGCACACTTTCAATATACCACCGCTGAGTGTTAAGTAGAAGACGTGTATACGATGCTTGCGTTTTACATTGATTAATTAATGGTCGAATTGATAATCCTCATCTGCTGTACGAGTTGTCATTTATAGTGCCAGTTTCTAACAGTCGTTTAACCAGAAGCAGAATCATCTTTAGAGTGACGTCGGCTTTGACGAATATAGTCAAGAACCATCCTCTACGTAGAATGATGCTCGCTGCCAATGATTTAGCAGGCCGTAGGGAGATTTCTATTTTTGATTCGACACTTTCTAGTTTCAGGCATAACATTTTGTTGTTTTAAAAAAATTATAATTAAATTGTATACCACGAATACTTTTGTGTTGAATGATGTAATTTTATGTATATTAATTTCATTTATATTTTTTTTCTTTTTTGGTATCAAGTTAATTTTTTGTAAAATTCAGTTTCCGTAAAATAAATAAACCTAGAATAACTAACCACATTTCATTTTTTGACGATGATACCCCTAGTCGGAACTTAATTTTAAATCAGGAAGGGTTAGTTTCCGCAAGTTTAATAAACATTGTCAAAATAATTATTGTAAAAAGAATTTATATTTGTTATAAGCTACACTATTTTTTACTCTTCTGCCCGTTAAAGCTACAGCATGTGGCAAAAGACAGTCCCTCAAATAAACACCTCGTTTTTCAGGGGTCCAAGCTCTGAAATTATATTGGAGGCTTTCCTTCCCTGTTAGAGCAACCCAACCTGCAAAATAAAACTCAGTTACTTATAAAACAAAAACAAAAAAAAAACGTATTACCTGAACTAGACAAAACAATGTCGTTGGCCGACCTTTGCCAATTAATTCCTGTTATGGTAAATTCTTTCGCCATCTCCAATTTGGGCCATTTTGCAAGTCTGTCAGCCCCACCCGTTGGTACTTTTAGTAAATCCGTGCCTAGTAATTCTTCGTAGAGTTCTTCGGCATCGCCGGTGTCACAAATCGTGATTGGTAATTCGTTTGACGCGAAAACACTCAATCTAACTGAACTAGACCCGTTTACATAGTCCAATCTGGATAAACCCCCAATAAAAAGAGTGGAGTTAGGTTTAACACAGAAAGTTCTAGGTAAAATAACCTGTTTTGGTAATGTCAACAACAGTTCATCCGTAGTTAACAAATGAATGATTTGATCAGGTTGTACCACTCCCGGAGTGTCATAACACCATTTGCTATGTATGAATTCAGGACTTTTTTCGTTTATCCCCATTTTTGTAACTCCTTTGTCATATTTATTGTCTCTTATAGTAAACATATCTTTGACTTCTTCATTAGACTTCATATTCTTGTATGGGTTTTTCGTTACATCAATGTGACCAATCAGAGACGCGTATTTCGGGTTTTTAGTAACTTTTAACTGCTGTTTCCGGAATTCTTGTTCTTCAGTTTCTATCTTCTCCAGTATTTCTAATCTCTTGTGTCTTAAATACTGCCGATATCCTTCTGGACGTCTGATGGGGAATTTGAGCAAGTTTAACGTAGTACCAGGCCATACACTGGTCGTAGCTCTCTGAATTAAATCCATAGCTTGAGTCTTACAGTAGTCGGACTGTAGCAACGCATTAAACAAACTTGACTTTCCTACGTTGGTACAACCCACAATGTAGACGTCTCCGTTAACCCTTTTCAAACTATTAAGCTTTGTGATTAAATCCTCAATCCCGTAACCCGTCTTTGCCGAAATTAGCACAATGTCCTTAATATTAAAAGTGGCAAATCCTTGTAACTTAACACTGTTTAAGAGTGTCCTCCTTATATGTTTGAAAAAATCTTTACTATCTTGAGCCAACAAATCAACTTTATTACCCACAATAATAATCGGTGTTCGGCTCCCAAAAATCTCCCCAATCCCAGGCCAAATCGAACAAGGGAAATCTAACAAATCTACCAGAAGTATTACCAAACCTCTTCTTTCACCAATTGTGGATAAAACTTTAGGATAATCCTCTGGGGTTACTTGAACTTGAAGCGCCACATTATAATGTTTTAAAAAATGGCATCTTTGGCAAACTATTGCTTCTAGGTTTGAACCACCATAAGCCACACTATTTTTAAAGATTTCTGAAGGGATGTAGCCTGGAATTGCTGTGTCTCTGCAGTGGAGAAGAGCCCCACAACCACCACAAGGGACATTACTAATTTTAGATTTCGGGTCGGGTGTGCCATAATACACACCACTTTCATTTATATCTAACTCACCTTCACTACCCAAGCAACTATCGTCATAGTTGTCATATGATAGCATCCAGTTTTTCATTTCTTGGTGAAGTTCATAACGTTTTTGCACTTCTTCGCTTAAGGCGGTTGCCACATCTGGAGAATAAGGGTCACTTTGGGATTCATTTATTTCGTGAGATGTTTCCACGTTGTGGCCACTTGAGTTGTATGGAAAATTTACTACTTCACTTTCGTATGACTCAGAAGTGGTTGCTGGTGTGTCTTCTTTAATGTGTATGTCATCGTTTAAATATTTTAATGTAACTGGAACAGGTTCTTGTAGTTGTACCTTTTTAAAACTTTTGTTTTTTTGTAGTTGTTCAGATCTTAAAACTTTCCTTTCGACTATAGTGTTGTATATAAGTCTTAGGGCAAATTTTTTAATAAGTTCGTCTAATGGTTTTTTGCTTTCTAAATGGGCGGTTTTCATGTACAGTTTCGTTTTGAATTGACTGCATTGCCTGAGAGGCCCCACAATGCGTGATTTGAGGTTATGTAATTTTAAAAGTGAAAACATGACGTGTGGCGTGTTAACAACAACGTTAATGTTATAAAATGGGAGCCTGATTTTCCATTTGTGCCAAGTCAGGCGAAAATACTTATGAATGCATTTACTTTTTTACACGTTGTCGTTTTTGAGGTTATGCGTGTTTTTGTTTGTGGTTATGTTCCTCAACTGTCACCTGTCAATAATAAAATGTCAGACTTGTCAAACTTTCCATTTCCGATAAACCTTCAACATAAACAATAAAACCGGATGAAAAAACCATTTCCAGTGTAAAAAACCTCATTTCTTGCGTTTCTAGTACAAAAACTAACAATCACGTTGAATATTTTAGCGAATGAGGTAAGCCCCCCGTGTGATCCCAGAGCAGCCCTTAACGCCCTAACTGTGCAGAAATGGCCCATTCTGGCGTCGTCCCAGCTGGCAAGCGAAAAGAAATTTACAAATACATAGCACCATGGCCGCTGTTCAGCATGAACTGGTCTGTGCGCCCCGACAAACGCTTCCGGTTGGCTCTGGGGAGTTTCGTCGAAGAATACAACAACAAAGTACAAATCGTGTCTTTAGATGAAGACAGTAGTGAATTCTCGCCCAAAAGTACGTTTGACCATCCATATCCCACCACGAAAATCATGTGGATACCGGACAGTAAAGGAGTTTACCCAGATTTATTAGCGACCAGGTATTTGCACACAACTTTGTTGATTTAAATAACTGAGAATTTTTAGTGGAGATTATTTGCGGGTGTGGCGCGCTGGCGAACCCGACACTCGTCTCGAATGCGTCTTAAACAATAACAAAAACTCCGACTTTTGCGCCCCCTTGACGAGTTTCGACTGGAATGAAGTAGATCCAAATCTTGTTGGAACCTCATCGATAGACACCACGTGCACAATTTGGGGTCTGGAAACGGGCCAGATCATCGGACGCGTTAATCTAGTTTCCGGACATGTTAAAACCCAACTAATCGCCCATGACAAGGAAGTCTATGACATCGCTTTCTCTCGAGCTGGAGGAGGCCGAGACATGTTTGCCTCAGTAGGAGCCGACGGTTCCGTTCGGATGTTTGATTTGAGACACCTGGAGCACTCTACTATCATTTACGAAGATCCAGCTCATACTCCTCTTTTGAGATTGGCATGGAATAAACAAGACCCTAATTATTTGGCTACGATCGCCATGGATGCCTGTGAAGTCATTATTTTGGATGTGAGGGTTCCATGTACACCTGTGGCCAGATTGAATAACCACAGAGCGTGTGTTAATGGAATTGCATGGGCCCCACACTCAAGTTGTCACATTTGTACAGCTGGAGATGATCATCAAGCTTTAATATGGGATATTCAACAGATGCCAAGGGCTATTGAAGATCCTATTTTAGCATACACAGCTGCCGAAGGAGAGGTTAATCAGATACAGTGGGGGGCCACGCAGCCGGATTGGATCGCTATTTGTTATAATAAGTGTTTAGAAATACTAAGGGTTTAAAAACAAGGAGACTTTTATTGTACCTTTATTTATACAGCATTAGTGCAACGCAAGCTATGGTATACATTTTTCCATATATTTATTTATGAGTCTCGTCGAGATATTCACGTTTTGTATTATTGGTTTTACATTAAAACAGAACTTCATATTTATAAATAGTCTTTTCTTTTGGGTCTTAGTGAGGGCGCAAACCTTAGTAACACAACCGGGTTTGAGATATAAGAGCAAAAGTTGCATCACCGCAAACGACCAATAATAAAGCAATTTCGTGATACGTGAACCCACATACTGATTTCTTATTGGTGACTTCCACCGGCTTATCACACGATGTCGCAGACCCCACAGCTTCAACGAAGTTGAGGTTAACTCATTTTATTTAGTAATAAAAACGTATTTCTGAATGATAAAAATGAGTGCTCGAGGTTTATTTTTGTTAAGAAATGCCAGTTCTTGTTCTCATTCGCCATTTTTTGTGACGACTCCGATATATTACGTAAATGCAAGTAAGTCCAACTTAACCTTAAAATCGCACAAAATACATTAACCCGACAAAATCAAATTCCTACCGATTTGTGATTACAATAATTTTAAAAGTAAAATCCTGTACTTGAAATCGAGAATTGTGTTTCAGATCCCCACATCGGGCATTTATATAGCTCGCTGATCGCAGATACCGTCTACAGATGGCGCTGCATCACTAATAACGTCACGAGTGCGGGAAAATTTAAATTTTCAACCGGGACTGACGAACACGGTTCCAAAATTCAACAAGCTGCGGCTATAAACAACTCAACTCCTGTTGACTACTGTTTAAAAGTGTCGTCACAGTATAAAGACTTGGCTCAACGCTTTAGCATCGACTATACTGATTTTGTTAGAACGACTGATGAAAATCATGAGCGAGCGGTGCATAAGTTTTGGGTGTGTATTATTCTTTTTTTTTTGTGATTTTTATATAAAAATCTACATTTTTAGAATATTTTGAAAAGAAATGGTAAAATATATTCAGCTAAGTACTCTGGCTGGTACTGCGTTTCCGACGAGACGTTTTTAACTGAATCACAGTTAAAGGAAAGAGTCGAACCGGATGGCCGTAAAACAATTATTTCCGGTGAAAGCGGTCATCCAGTCGAATGGATCGAGGAAGTCAACTATATGTTTCCGCTTCGATCTTTACAAGACGATCTTAAATATTGGATCAGAAGGAACGGTAGGTATGACAATTGTGAAGAAAATGTCATTTAGATAAATCTTCTAAGTAAAAGGAGCGAAGTAAAAGGTGTCTCAATAATAAATGAACTTATCGCTGATGTATTGACGCTTTTCTGTCTGTCGCGACTTTGATAAAAAGGGATTAAAAGGAAAGACGCTGGCACGAGCTTTGTAATCATTAATTCTAACGGTAAGAATTGCAAAAATCATCAGTTCCACGATTGTGCTTTATCGATTGCTTACGTTACGTTTTAATTTCGCGTTTCTTTTGGAATTTTCTCGCGATTTTACTAATTACATCTGCAGCGAGAGTCGAGAAAAGCGGGAGGTGTTGTTCGCTTTAAATTTATTTTTAATTCTTTGTTGTATTTGTTGTTGGTTAACCGTGAGAACACGAGCGTTTGACGACTTAAAACGCGGTTATTTACTTCAGTGCAGAAATAAAAAGAAAATTCTTTTGTGGGTAAATATGTCTCTCATTCAATACAACATACCGGTTTACATAGCAACACTTGACTTGAAACGACAACCCCAGCTACCAAGAATGACCCTCGTCCAGCCTGACTGGGATTGCATTTTATCGATTATACGCCTAAGTGTGATTATCCAGTCTAACTTGTACAGGGTATTATTCTCACTTACGGTAATGATTTCTGGCGCTTGATTATGTTGCCAGGGGAACGCCTGAATTATTTGGAATTTGTATACAAGAAGTGTAAAATTGCTCAATAGGTACATCTGAAGTGGTTCATTATTTTCAATTTTATAAAAACTATAATTTATTTCGCTGAATTAACTTATTAATATTTCTAGAGTTTTCAATAAATCAATAAAACATACATACATCATTTATTATTCAGACAGATAGTTATTAATGTATATTTTTATTACAGAATCAATTGTACCTGTTGGAATTTTCAGTCTTTTCTTTCGTCCTCTTTCAGTATTCACATTATAAACAAATTGCTACAAGCAATGTACTTAACTAAAATTTACTTATCCATCCCTTCCAGATTCGTTCTAATTTTCTCTTTGGAGGAGTTAGGTTTTATAGAACCATCGAACATATTATATAAGCGCGTGAACAACGAGGCTACCGTTCATATTCGTTAGAAAACACGTGTCGTAAAGTCAATTCTGCAGGATACTTCAGAATTGCAACTGCGGGTGGAGATGGAGATGTTTTTATTCTGTATAAGCATTGGTTGTTTCATTTCATTTCAATAGGGTTTTGGCGTAGGTTGTTCATGCGATTTTCACGTGATCACTGGATCTGTTTAGTGATTCCAGTTCGTTCGTGTAGTCGTATCTTAATCTCATTACGTTTTGTTCATTTTAATCATACGAGGAATTTGAGCAGCGTTTCAAACTCCGCATTCTGGGTCAGAGACAGTGAAATGACATGATGTAAAATCCAGTTTTGCCAAAAAAGCCGTGAAATTGAAAAATGTCTCTAGAGATCACGAATCAGCGAAAAAACGAGTACTTATGTCGTGTTGTGAAGATAACCTGGAGCAATTCGTGGTTAAGCAATAGTGGGGAAAATCGTTTGTAAAGAAATTAAATTTAAAGCCGACATTAGAGAGTTTTGTTTTATTACAATGGATGGATTTATTACATTTTAATTTTGAAATGGATTTTATGTTGGAAGCAGATTAATTACATGTTTCAATAGCGTTAAATATATTTAATTACTATCCGTGCAATATATCATTGATCTCGAAAAGCGTACTATGAAAAACTAATAAACTAAATAATTCATCAAAATATTCCGCAGCAAAAATCCGCATTGTCTTCCCATCAGAAATATTTGCATTCGCGTAGAGAAATTTGCTGTTGACAGTTAGTTAATGCTATAAATTACGACCCAGTTGTTTTGCGCCACAAGGGAATTTTGACTTGTTTATATTGCAATTTTAGGTATGTATAGATTATAAGAGAGGACGATACAACACTCGTAGAATGAAATATGCGTTCTTTGTCGCACTGAGAGTGACCATCAATTCAGTCTAGGTTTCCAAGAAACTCGACCGAGTTTTCACTAGAAATCGGCCAAAACTAGACCGAGACTAATGCTTATTCGAACACAAATAAATACAAGAGACAGCGAACGCTAGAAGTGTTAAGTCGTCGCCTGCGAACTTGTTGGATCTACAGACCAGAGCGCACTCAGGCCAATGTCGACTCTAAACGTTCAGAAATGATTTGATCTATAAGCCATGATCTGATACACATCCTAATCGGTTTCGATCATAATTTCTACGGGAAAGTATTGCTTGGTCCAACTTTACAACGAATAAGTGAACATTTTGGTAGGTAGGTTAATTATTGCCATGCAACTAGTTTTTGTTTAATTAAGAAATAATTCTTTAATTATGTTTGCTACTAGCAAAATTCCACAAATTAACAATACTGTTGGAATCGTTATCATGCAATAGATTTTTTTTTGGAAAAGTGTAGTTATTTTTATCTTTTGGAAACGTTACGATCTACTTTGCATGAATTTCTATTAATTTCTTTATTTAAATTTTTAGCAATAACGCAACAAGCTTAAAATGCTTTCAGTGATATTCGTTCCATTGTTGATTTCTTTTTGTTTTAATAATGTTCAGCTAAATAAACAGAGTCCAACCATAAATCTTATTCTCATTTCGTGCTATAATTAATTCTAAAATTAAGAGCAAAATGTTTGACTGTAGAAGTGTCACTAAAGGTTCTGCAAAGTCAATTTCTTTAAAAAAGTACATAATGTTCCCGATGACAAAATTTACATTTCAAAGCTCTTGACAGATGATTTACCTGAATAGTAAGTATTGCAATATATAAATAATTACATCGCATTTGTTGAACATATTGTTACGTTGGATGAGTGATTAAAATCGGCGTAGGTAAAACTCAACACTTTATTTCTTAATAACTCGAATTGCACGACTAACTATTACTGCGATTATGTACAGAATAATTCCATGGTGCAACTTGAATGTATTCGTTCACTCGACTCGATTTGCTGACTGGATTGGCTGAATTGGCTGAATAATAATCGTTTCTGTCGATGGATGCAGAACGCGGCTTCGAGGGTTTTCTGGGCCCGTCGTGACATCCGCTTCCAGGCTTTCCTTTAGCGAACGCCGCGTCGCCCGGCCGATGAGTCATACTACATACTAGAAGAAACACATAGGCGTCCTACGGGGGCGGCGCATGGGTTTATTTCGTAAACATACACATAAAGAAGAGCAACATGACAATAGAAAACAAATAATTCAGTTATGTATATGCACCTTATTATAATAAAATAAATTGGCAACTACTTTAAATGTTAAAAAGTAGCATAGTCCTGAATTTGTGGTTTAAGAATCCGCGTTGAATTTTTATCCTCGACATTGAGATTTTTCGATTTTTCGGCTTTTCGATTTCTTGCTTTTTTTCAACTTTCGAATTCTCAATTTTTCGAAATTTTAGTTTTGGGATTTTTCAGTTTATTATTCAATTTTTGGATTTTATAATTTCTCAATTTTTCAGTTTTTCGATTTCCCAATTTTCCGATGTTTCAGTTTAACGTTTTTTCAATTTTTCTCCTCTTCAATTTTACAATACAATTTGACTTTTATAAACTTTCAATTTTTCGATTTTTCATTTCTTCAGTTTTTCAATTTTTGAAGGTTTTGATTTTTCGATTTCACTTTTTTGACCTTTTGATTTTTCAATTTTTTAATTTCTCAGTTTTTGGATACATATTTTAGTTTTTCCATTCTTCAGTTTTTTCAGATTATTATTATTCAATTTATCGGGTTTTCAATTTTCCGATGTTTCAGTTTTACGTTTTTTCAATTTTTTTCCTCTTGAATTTTATGATTTTTAAATATTTAGATTTTTCAATTTTTGACTTCTCTTGTCAATTTTTCGATTTTTCAATTATCGTTGTTTTGATTTTCCTATTTTTTGCGTTTAGACTGTTTCAATTTTTCAGTTCTTCATTTCTTCAATTTTTCGATTTTTCAGGTTCTTAATTTTTCAATTTTTCGATTTTTTTTAAGGTTTCGATTTTTCGACTTCACCTTTTTGATTTTTCGATTTCTCAATTTTTGAATTTTTTAGTTTCTTAGTTTTGGGATTTTTCAATATTTCGATTCTTCGACTTTTCGATTTTTGACTTCTGAATTTTTCAATCTGTCGATTTTTTTACTTTTTCGATTTTTCAATTTTTTGATATTTTAATTTTTCAGTTTTCAAAATTTTAGATTTTTCGATTTCTCACTTTTTCATTTCAGTTCTTCGATATTTCAGTTTTTTATGTTTTCGAAATTTTCAAATGTTTCGATTTCTTAATCTTTCGATTTTTCGACTTCGCAGTTTTAGATTTTTACATGATCATGCCCACCATAGATTAACGTCTGTTGGAATAAACTTATTATTATTATCATTATTATTAATATTATTTTCTGTTTTTCAATTTTTCGTTTTTTCAAATTTTCGATTATTTAACTTTTCATGTTTTAAATTTTTCTATTTTTCAATGTTTTCATTTCCCGATTTATCGAGGTTTGGATGTTTTGATATTTTGTTCAGTTTCTCGATTTATAACTTTTCGATTTTTCATTTCTTCAGTTTTTCAATTTTTCAATTTTTTAAGGTTTTGATTTTTCGATTTCACTTTTTTGACTTTTGATTTTTCAATTTTTTAATTTCTCAGTTTTTGGACACATATTTTAGTTTTTCCATTCTTCAGTTTTTTCAGATTATTATTATTCAATTTATCGGGTTTTCAATTTTCCGATGTTTCAGTTTTACGTTTTTTCAATTTTTTTCCTCTTGAATTTTATGATTTTTAAATATTTAGATTTTTCAATTTTTGACTTCTCTTGTCAATTTTTCGATTTTTCAATTATCGTTGTTTTGATTTTCCTATTTTTTGCGTTTAGACTGTTTCAATTTTTCAGTTCTTCATTTCTTCGATTTTTCAGGTTCTTGATTTTTCAATTTTTCGATTTTTTTTAAGGTTTCGATTTTTCGGCTTCACCTTTTTGATTTTTCGATTTCTCAATTTTTGAATTTTTTAGTTTCTCAGTTTTGGGATTTTTCAATATTTCGATTCTTCGACTTTTCGATTTTTGACTTCTGGATTTTTCAATGTGTCGATTTTTTTACTTTTTCGATTTTTCAATTTTTTGATATTTTAATTTTTCAGTTTTTAAAATTTTAGATTTTTCGATTTCTCACTTTTTCATTTCAGTTCTTTGATATTTTAATTTGTTATGTTTTCGAATTTTTCAAATAATTCGATTTCTTAATCTTTCGATTTTTCGATTTCGCAGTTTTAGATTTTTACATGATCATGCCCATAATAATAATAAGTTTACTCCAACAGATGTTAATCTATAATATTAATAATTATTAATATTATTTTCTGTTTTTCAATTTTTTGTTTTTTCAAATTTTCGATTTTTTAACTTTTCATGTTTTAAATTTTTCTATTTTTCAATGTTTTGATTTCCCGATTTATCGAGGTTTGGATGTTTCGATATTTTGATTGTTCAGTTTCTCGATTTGTCAGTTTTTCAATTTATAACTTTTTGACTTTTTATTTTGGCCTATTCAATTTCTAAGTTTTTCCATTTCGACATGTTTTCAACTTTTAACTTTTCGTTTTTTTGATTTTGACCTAGTTTGGTTTCTCAATTTTCCGACTTCATGACTTTTCGATTTCTTGATTTTTTGATGTTTCGATTTCTAAATATTTCAATTTTTCGAATTTTTTAATTTTTTGATTTCTCGATTTATCGAGATTTGGATGTTTCGATGTTTGATTGTTTAATTTCTCGATTTATCAATTTTTCATTTTTAACTTTTCGATGTTTCGATTTTGACCTATTTCGGTTTCTCGATTTCTCGATCTTTTGATTTTTCGATTTTTTAGTTTTCGGATTTTCGGTTTTTCGATTTTCCAGTTTTTCGATGTTTCCATTTTTCAATTATCCGATTTATCAATTTTTCAATTTTTTATATTTTGGTGTTTCGATTTCTCGCTTTTTCGTTTTTCGGTTTTTAAATTTTAGAATTTTGAAGTTTTCATTTTTTCGATTTATTGATGTTTCAATTTTTCGATTTTCAGTTCTTCGATAGTTCTATTTTTCAATTTTTCGATTTTTTAGATTTTACATTTTTTGATTTTTCACTTTCACGATTTTTGTTATGTTTGGATTTCTTGACATCTTGGTTTTTCAATTTTTAGATTTCTCAATTTTGCAGGTTTTCGATTTTTGAAATTTTCGATTATCGAAAATAACCACAACGATCGTCACTGAAAACATTTAAAATTTCATACAAAGTAGGACACAATGTTTCGAAAACATAAAAATAACTACATTAGGACGTTTTGCTAATATAAAACGATTAAACAATTTATTCATACTTAAACAAAAAAATAGTTGCATTTCAAAATCGAGTGAAATATGTGACATGTGATATTATATTTGTAAATAAAACCATCTAATTATGTACCAAAAATGTTCACTTATTCGTTATAAAATCCGACCAAACAACTATTTCCCGCAGAAATTGTAGTCGAAATTAATCAACTCGCTTCTGAACGTGTAGAGTCGACACTCGCCTGAGGGCGCTCTGGTCTGTAGATCAAACAAGTTTTCAGGCGACGAAGTAATATTTCTTTGGTCTTCGCTTTCAGACAATCGTTACTAGCTTAGACATTTGTTGCTTTACTTGTATTCAGTAATGGAAAACAAAAAACTTTAAAAAATTGAGCTCTAATATACAGACGCCGAGTAGGTCGTTCATTCGACGAATTTGTGGATGTATTTCTAAAATTCAACATTGCATTATTTCGATTAAGGATACTAAAGACTTTACCATAATTGACAACATTGGTGTGGTAGTTGAAATCGGCAAGAAATAACGCTCGTACGTCAAGTTGGTTTTGGAAAAGTTGTCACTGTCTTTTTGAATAAGAATTTGTCTTTTGCTTAAAATAGGTGGTAAATCTATTATTCGAGCTGAACTATTATTGATTACCTACCTGATACACTAAAAAAGTTTAAAAAAGTTAGGTTATGACTGACGTTTGTGACAGAATTATATGTATTTATTCGTCTATGGTGACAGGCGAAGACTTAAATTAGTCTATTAATCGTCATAACGAGGCGGCAAAATTCATAACATTTTAAGGTTTTGTACTTTAGCAATAAAATTTTATAAGATATATTTTAATTTTCGAAATATGTAGTAGATACCAAATTCCAATTAACATTTGGAAATCAAAATCCGAGAAGCCATAGAATCCATAAATTTTTCTTGTAAATTTCAAACGGATATTCTTCTCAAAATAATGATAACGTTCGAGATTACAATGTTCAATATTTGTGTTAAACAAATAAACAAATAAATAAATAAATAAATAAATCTACGAATGGTTTGAAAATGTATTTTGGGTTGCGTTTCCAATTCTGTCGGGCTCATTGAATCACCCTGCATAAATAACCTTTATAATTTTTCTCACTTTGAATATTAAATTATAATTTCGCCTAATTCTCGTGTATCTATCTCTACCATCATTCCTTTTAACTTATCAGTCCACGAGCACCAGCTTCGCTCCCCGCCGGGACTTTCCCCTAATCCCCAATAATGACCCTCTCGCGAAATTTTAATTTTTCATACGCATGAGTTGCCTTTCCATTGTCGCAGAGAATTCCGTCAGGCCAGCAAAGTTCCGAAAGATCTTGCTGGATATGGTAGAAGCGAGCCCTTTGCCGGACATTTCAATATCTCGTCCGTCGAGTCGGGTGCACTGGGGCATACAAGTACCGGACGACGAAACTCAAACGGTTTACGTGTGGTTGGACGCCCTCGTCAACTATTTAACCGCCGCCGGATACGCGGAGGGGGCGGCTTTCTCCAAAGTATGGCCGCCGAGCGTTCAGGTCATCGGGAAGGACATCCTCAAGTGAGTTCGGTGGAGAGGGTGAGAATTATTAGAAAGTTCGGAGAAGTTGGAGGAGGGGTGACGTTTTATTAAGTTTCGCATTTTCTAAACATTGGCAATTAATTAATCGCCGACAGTCATGAAGGATTTCACGGGAATTGTTGAGAAAATTAAGTTAGATGGTGGAGACGTTGCAGTTATTGTTTCTTTTGATTGTTGAGTCTTAGATGTCGAAGTTTTCAGACGAGGGCTTTGTAGGGCAGCATTTGTTAGATTTGGGTTTGCAAAAAATGCGTTGTTCCAGTTTTGCTGCTACAATATGATAAAAGCTCAGTAATTATGGGTTCTGTGTCTTGAAGGAGCAATTTTGAAACTGAATTTATGTGAATAGCGAATTATTTACATTTATTTTAGCATTTCATGTATCAAATATTATAAAGTTCTCCAAAACTTGTAAGTTTATAGGCAAGCCATAAAAGTAGCTGACCGCAAATAAACACCTCTTTTGTGCCAAGTGTGAGGAGGTTCTTGGGTTGGTTATAAATCATATTCCAAGCAATTCTGTGTTATACTTAGCAAGACTGGATTAAATAGAACTTCAGTGTGAGATTTAAATAATTTATTCAATAATACGTCAGTCATCTTTCTTGCTAATTGGAAGAAAAAATAGCGAATTAAATTTCAGAACAAAACAAATGAAATAATCGATCCAAGGATTATTCCGAATCGCAAAAACCCGCATTCCTCTCGTATTAGAAATATATGAGTTATTTTAAAAATATTTTTCCGCTACAGGTTCTCGATGATAATAATAATAATTACAACCCAATTGTTGTTGTCACAGAGGAATTTTAAAATTATACACAAAAATCAGTTTCCCATAGAAATTTATGAAATTTGAGGAAGTTAGGAGCTTGTTCTGACCATTTCAAGTAGCCAGTCAGCTAGAGAAATGTGTGCTTTAGCGAAAAAGAGGCAATTGGTGCTAGTTTTCATGTTCTGGTGGCTGGAGTTTCAATGAAATTGTTCAGAAACTGAGAAAATGTTTCTTTTAGTAAATTTTCTCACAATATCTGCTGATGGCGATTCTACCACCTTACAAAAGAGCGCTTCCTATCCAATTACCAAAAACTTTGGTACATTTTAAGCACAGCATCGAACTTTCGCTGGAAACTGTTCCAATTTAGACCGCGAACTAATGCTAGTTTGGACACAAACAAAGAAATAGACATCGACGACAACTATGTAAGTGCGAATCTTCATTGAGATGTGCAACCGATTTCTGGAAGTTCAAATACTGCGTGTCCCAGTTTACCTATTTACTAGAGATGTACCGACTGTAGGTCTGGCCGACTAACCGACTAGCCGATTGTTTGGCCAGTAAAAACCGACTAGTCGGCCGACTGTTCGGCTTTGCTAAAACCGGTTTATAAATGCGACAGACAGTGTTTTTTTTCTATTTCTCTTACTACCCTAAAAATTTGTTTTATTTTAATAAAATGAATAACTAAAATTCCTTTGTTTTCTAAAAAATTTGTTAAATTTGTTTGGATAATTTTAACATTTAATTTTTTTTTGGTAACTCAGTACAAAAATAAAGAATAACATAATTTAGGGCCAGTTTATATAATATTTTAACTGAGATTAAGTTGATCGCGCATTTAACAAGGCCATTAGCGACGTCTGATTGGCGTAGAGTCGGTCACACGGTAAAGTTTATCTAGCATTATAAGAATTTTATGGACTCCCAAAGTTAATTCGTTTTACAGCTCTGTTGTCAATTTTATTGTACAGCTGAAGAGCGGGGCGAACTCAGGTACAGAAAACATCGGCTTTCCCCTGACAGGCTCTTTACCTGTACAATAGAATTGACGCCTGGGTTGTAAAACGAATAAACGTTGGGAGTCCATAAAATTCTTATAATTCTGGACAAACTTTACTTTAACGCGGGGTTAAAAATTAAATCGCAATTAAATATTTAATTGAGGTTCTGTAAACCGGGTTTAATTGTTTTATATACTATTTTCATTTTAATAAAAAAAAGCCGACCGATCGGCTGTTTAGCCGACCAGTCGCCGACTGCGGCCGACGATGGAAAACGGCCGAATAGTCGGCTTATCCGACCGGTCGGCCATTAGTCGGTACATCCCTACTATTTACTTTAATATCCGAGTTATTCGAATAGATGAAAATTTGAAATTTAGAATAGTTCATAAACACAAATAAATCTATAAAAAAAAAACGATTCGCATTATTATATTGCTTTAGGTTTATTAAGATGTGACGTTTTTTTTTCTTTTTAGTGATAAAAAAATCTATAAAGTAAGGATACTGTAGAATTATTACGGTGCTGTAATAAATGCTACACCAGTGAAGAAACATTGTAATTTTCATACTTAAAAAATATACTTCATTTATTTTGAAAAGAAAAATTATTGTCATTTCCGAAAAAACCAAAAGTTTTACTACGCTAACATAGTATTTTCATTTACTTCTATTTTTCTATTTTTTCAAATAATTGAGATACTGTAGCCGATTGGGCGAACTAGGACACCCGGTAGACCTAAGACCTATTTAAAATATTCTTTCCGTTCAGATACTATACATATGTATGTTAGGTAGATGGTAGAACGCTAGTCAAAATTTGCCTGCTCACCAGATCAGACAACAATAATAATTTGCTGACGTCTCCTCAAAATTTTGCATTGTAAATGCTATTTAAATTTTATAAAATAACACAGTTCCGTACTTGTGGTTTATGAATTCGCCTTGATTGTTTACGGTAGGCGTCCAGATTTTTGCAGAAATAACGCAAAGGGTGCAGGTTCGATCCCCTCTTGGGCCATTGTTTTTACGTCCCGAGCGTGAGCTTGTAATAGGGTCCATTGGGTGACTGGCTACTTTAATGTTTTCTCTAAGTTTCATGACCGCTAGACTACGAAAAATAGGTCTCCCGTTTCTGTTTGTCTGTTTACCGTCTGCCTTCTGTTCAGATTTTTTATTTGACAGATAATTCCGAAACTACCGGACCAATTGTTACATTTTATGTGTACGTTAGGAATATCGTGTAGATAGTAAAACATTGACCAAAATTTGTTTAATCATCCCCACTAACAATTTTATGACGTCAGCTCGACGTTCTGCACAGTAAAGAATATCTAAATTTTATAAAATAATGTACTCCTATACTTCTGGTTTATGGATGATTTAATTTATAATTACTATATTTTTTATTGTTTAATTCTTCCTGTACTTCAGATACTAAAAACAGTAATATATAAAGTAGGTAGGTATTTGAGCGTCAGCTTTGTAAAAGAAAACGCCGGGCATTTCCAACTTTTTTTATTGACGAATCAAGCACGCTTCGTTTTGTCGAAAATGTAAGAATACAGTAATCTCGCGTCTGCCTCTATTTAGTACTAAGAAAATAATAATTATCATAATAACAGTTACTCAGCCAAAAAATAACAAAATCAAAAATAGCAAATCAAATTTTATAATTTTTTAAACAAGCGGAATTTGTTGGATTATAGTTCAGAGGCGAGGGAAATTCTATCGAATAACTTTCGAGTAATTGTTTTTCTTTTTTCTTATACTGTGATTGATACCTATATTTTTTAATATTCCTAAAATTTATAAAATGTTACCAAATCTAATTTTATAAATGCTATGTAAGTTATGTAGTTTAATGCTTAAAAAAAATAAATGGGTTTCTCAATTACGGCATAAATATAGTGTCTAAAAAAAGTACAATTTTTAAATATCGATGAAGTATTTTCTATATTTAAGTTAATACTTATGACAATTGTTTCTTCATTTTTAAAAGACTAACATATTGAAAGTGTGAGAACAAAAAAATGAATAAAATGTAATAATAAAATACAGGGTGTTCTACATATTTGAAAAAACTGAAATATTGATATTTGAACATTGTAACGTTTTAGATTTTTTATAAACACTCTGTACATTAAAATTTGATTTAACTGGTTGCACAACAAAGCGCGTACTTCGGTTTATCTCTATAAAATATTGCAACAGAGACCTGAAAAATAACATTATTGCAATTTTTTGCTAATCTTTGCATTGCTAAAAAAATTCAAGAAATCTGGAATAACGTGGCAACGTCGCATCGAAAGTTCAAAAACAAACCGAAGTTATAAAGCCTAGGAAGATGCTAATGAGACTATGGAAAAATATGAATACAGGATGTTCTATTTAAAAAAATTTGTCGAAGGTTATTTCGAGAGAACTTTCCTCGCCCATGAACTACATTAAAACAAATCCAGCTTTTTCGAAAAATTATAAAATTTGATTACGCGAATTATATTTTTTATATTAAAATAAAAATATGTAAGTAATGTAAGTAATTGTAAAAAAGCGTGCTGCGCGTACGTTTCAAATGAGTTTTCCCTTAACAAATTTTTGCAAAGACACGCGTATCACTTTGGATAGGTGCAGTATAATACTAATGATTACTAAATGACTAAAAACCATGAGTACACTGCACAAAAGTGATAAACCACAAGTAAGACCACAATATTTTGCATATTTCAGAGAGGATTTATTCGGCAAAATTTTGAGATGACGTCATCAATTTTTTGAGGGCGATAAACAGATATATTTTGCTTAAAAATTTACAATGCTTATTGCTTACGATAAGTTTAAAACGTTTGCAAGATTTCAAAGCAGTCGATTATATAGTTCTTGATTTAATCAATAAAATAAACTGACTCTTTTTTGAGTCACCTTGTATAAGTAATTATAAAAACTATGAGTGCGTTGATAAACCACAAGTATACAGTCATAACATTTTACACATGTCTGAGAGGATTTATTCGGCAAAATTTTGAGATGACGTCATCAATTTTTTTGGGATGGGATAAAACGAATTTTGGTTAAGCATGCGTTTTCTGCATAGAATTTTCGGTACATTTTCAGAATGTAATATCTCCATTATTAACAGACTTGTGATTGTGAAATTTTAAATATAAGCCGTCCATAGCTTTCTTTAATAACGCAATGCTAGTTTTGTGAAAAACAGTTTCTGATTTTGTATTTTAGTGACATTTTTGTATAACGTATTTTTAAAAATCAATATTTCAATCATTTAAGGGAATTTTAGCAGACGTTTTTCAACAGTGTTTTCAGCTTACAAAACTTATTTTTACTATATCTCAGTTCCAACAAATAAAATCGAAAATATATCTAGTACGATTTCTAAAGTTTCGTAAGCCGAAAACAGTGGTGAAAACCGCGTTCCAAAAATTTCAACAAAATTGAAAAAATATCTGGTTTATAATAAACTGTTTTAAAAACTACCCTCGAATATTATGTAGTGAAAGTTGTGGACAAGTTATATTTAAAACTTCATAACAATTTAGTGTGTAAATAATGGAGATATTACATTTTGAGAATATATTACCTAACACCGAGCCAAACGTAGCGACTAACGATTTATCATGATTGCGATAACCTTAAAAGATTTACGAGATTTTAGAGCATTCGGTTTTGCACTTTCAAAATTAAATTGCAAAATATTGTTATACAGTTTTGAGTTTTTTTTCCAGAAATTCTGGATGTCTAGCTTGAAAATTCGACACGGAATCACATATCATAAATCCAGATCTTATTTTATAAAATTTAAAAAACTTACCGTTCTAAATTTTGAAGATGATGTCATCCCATTGGTGGTGGGGATGATGAGCCAAATTTTAGTTAGCGGTTAACCATTTACTTGATATTCCTAATATACGTACAAAATTTGACAACAATCAGTCCGGCAGTTTCGGAGATTACGTGTGTAATGGAAATGGATACAGACGCCAGACAGACAGACAGACGGAAACTAGAGGTCATGACGCGTCGGGAAAATATGAAAGTGGGAATTTGCGCGATGGACTCGATTAGAATACTTCCTTGGCTTACGTTCGGAAGGTAAAAATGAAGTTATGCCTTAAAAAGAAAATAATCTGTAGTTTGTATAGTCGAAAATAATATTAAATCTGTACAAGGAACCGTACAATTTTAGTCCATGATTTTTTTTCCAACTATAATAATAATAAATGCGATCTCGAGGACCTCGTCTTTAATGATTTACCCTTGCATTGCTATAAAGTGGAAAAGACATCTAACTGTGCAAGGGGTTATAGGAGGTATACAGGGTATCCCAACTGTCTGGTGGCGGAAGATTATGATATTATCGTGAATTATTTATTACTTATTTATTTAGGTCTACAGTTTACAAATATTTTTTTATACATTTAACGATTAGTATTTAAATGGAGCACCTCATATGTTTTCACAGATTTGGATTATTTATGAAAAGGGGAGAATTATATCACGTACAAGGGTATCTAGGTCGACAGTCAACAATTTTGTGAGATATTCGCATTTCTATGGAACAAATTAAGAACTGAGTTCCACCATTTTTAATTATGGAGTTTTGGAATTTTGCTCCAAATTTTTTAGTTACATTAAAATGTATAACGTATAAAAACTGACGATCTTTAAACTTATTTCTACAGGTTGATTAAATTCGCAAATTGTCTGTTTTCTCATGTTTTCCAGTATTTTATAATACATATTTTCAAACTTGCCTCTAAGTAAGCTTTCTTTTACATCAAGTTATAAACTTGTATATAAACCTCGACGTCAACATTGGGACTCCACACTGTATGTAACATCGCAAGTCGACAGGAACATCGTGAATCTAGACACCGTTTCGTTTCTCAAAGACCATTTTGCATCATACAGTAAGAAAAATCATCAGGTGTTTTTTTAAACCACCTGTTTGAAACTATGTAATGTCACCTGAAGCTCATATGTATAGGTTTTTAACTTGTAATATATTTTTTGTAGTTTTATTATCATTCAGAAGTATTTTGGCTCTAGAATCGAAACTGTTTTGATCGGGGTTTGAGATTAGGTATTTTGTTTGTTTGTTACGTGTTCCGATCCACAAATCGTAAAAAAAATATAAATAAAAATGGTGAATATATTGTGCTTCCTATCTGTTGAATTATGTTTGTAAAAACATGAATTTACTACGAGGGCAATAACAAATATAATCTTGATGTATGGTATTATGTATTAGGTCCTAAAATCTCAACCTTGTCAGCTGGGTTTGCTCTAACGGGTTAAAGACAATGTTTTTTAACACACATCCACGACGTTACATTATTTTTTAGTGTCTTTAAATCATAACCTCCCAAAGTTATCAGTTGTTTTTAACATAAAATGGGGCGGTATGATTTTTTAAAATAGGGATATATATATGTAGTATATCTTCTCAAGACACTCACTGGAAACCAATAAAACGCAGCTATACACTATATATCACTCTGTCGGTAGAGTGGAGTGGGCAACTTCAAGAAAATGCCAAACACGAGCGTACAGAGTAAATTTGCGATTCGTGTGCCCTCGACCTATATTTTCGTTTCGAAAAAAAGTAATATATATAATTTGTCGTTTTCCAAGCTCGGCTTGTGTGACCGACAGATGTGTAACTGTATCTTTATCGAAGCAAAAAACTTTTACGTTATTGCCGATACGGCCCTGCTCCCGACGTTCGTTCCCCAAGCCGCTCATTTCTGAAATGTCCCTTATACCATTAGGTTCCATGGCATTTACTGGCCTGCGTTTCTCATAGCCGCCGACCTGGAACCCCCCGCGACCCTCTTGTGTCATTCGCACTGGACCGTCGATGGCGAAAAAATGTCCAAATCGAAAAACAACGTCGTTTGTCCTTTCCAAAGGAGCAAGATCTACACGAACGACGGTCTGCGTTACTTTTTACTGCGCGAAGGTGTCGCGCACAGCGACGGCAGTAAGTCGATTTATGTCCGAGTTCAGTACTTTATGACTTGACTCGGATGATTTAGTGAAATGTTCTTTTTATCTCTTGTGTTTTTTATCCGAGATTACAGCGACACCAAGCTGATCCGCATCTTGAATTCGGAATTGGCCGATACTTTGGGTAATTTATTGAGTCGGTGCTGTGGAAGTGCCCTAAATCCTCGACAGACGTTTCCGCGGATCGAAGAGGACGCGTTGAGGAAGGTTGCTGAGCTGGACGTGACGAAGAAACTAATTGAGGATGTCAGGGGGCTGCCGGGTGAGTTATTGCTTTTTGCGAGACGATTTTTTCTGTGTCGAAGAGACGGCACTTTGACGAACCCGCGGGATGTCGTTCCTGTGTATCTACTAGTCTACTAATGTAATTTTAATTTTCAAAGAAAATTTTTCACTTGTAAAATAGTTAGCGCAGCCGTCTGTTGGTGCGGACGGATGGACAACTGACATGTGAATATCCTACTAAAATCTGGTGGAAGTAATATTCAAATTGTTCTTCAAACGTTAAATTTATTGATGTGCGTCCATGAATGTGATTGACACTATTGTGATATAATTACTAACGCTAGAATCAATTATGTTCACAGAATTTAATGCTTCCTCTCAACCAGAGCTTAATGTTACGTAGAGGAAAATAATTACGAAAGATACTAAATAAATTCACATGTTGTATTAAGCAACATAAAGTAACAAAATTAAAGACATAAGATAAGCCAAAAACACATACTTACATAACTGTTGTGAATTTTTATTGCCAAGCAAAACGTATACAGTATGTCCCTAAAGTCTGAAATTAATTCGATAAAAATTTCAGGAACTTTTTATACAGACTTCATTTCAGGAATAACCTTGACATTTATTTTTTAATGACCTCATCGATATTTGTTTTTAATGGAAATTCTAGTTTTTTTACATATTTTAAACGGAAAGAAAAACTATATTCTAAAAACGAAAAGTAACCTTACTTCAGTAGCTTCTTATTTTGTTAAAAATGTACAATAATAAAAAAAGACATTCTCTTCGGAAGGAAATAACATTGTAAAAGCGTTTGAAATTTTACAAACATTAATTCAATGATTACAAAACGACGATTGAAATGTTCGTCCCCTCCAGAAGGCTAATGACGTCATCGCAACAATTTATTAGATGTGTGTTAGGAAATATGTTTCAAGTTGCAAAATTGCTTGTCATTTAGCATTATCAATGTACTTTGGAAAGTTCTGTTTTAATGACTTTAGACCATCTTTTTTCAAGAAGACACAGAATTTTTTGTTTACAGTTAATACAAAAGCCGAAATTAATTCAAAAACAAATAACCGATAGTAAAACTTCTGTTGTACATTGGATGCTCGTGAAACTTGTATGATTCATTATTTATCTCAGCACTCTTGATTTTGAATTTAAGTAATAGGTATACTAAATGATAACACATACCTCAAGTTTTGTTTTAATACCGATCACAGGAAATGTGCTGAAAATAACGGATTAAAGTTTTGGTAGTTCAAAAAAGATTTTTAACCTTGGGATGGATGGACTAACACAAATAACTAGATAGTAACTAATTTGGTGGTATCATTCCCCAGCAATATAATTCATTATTAAGCTAAATTGCGTTTAAGTATTTTTAGAGACTAATGTCAAAACAATGTTTTCAAGATATTTGAAAAATGTTTATATACTACATGGATTTTTTTAATAAGTGCTTTGCCCATTACTATGACTTACTTAAAAGCTCAGCCACGTCATCTAAACTAGAACATGGTAGCTTTTTTTTATAATTAGTACAGTCGTTTCCAAAAAATTTCGGACAAAATGAGCAAATTCTCAGGTTCTCATCGGTCAATGAAAAGCAATGGAAGTATGACTTTTATGTCAATATCATTTGCCAGAAATTTTTTGGAAAGGACAGTAGGTACAGTATAAAATTACACATGATTAATATTCGGAAAGTATTGTTTTTTGGTATTTAATTTTGAAAATGTTTGTTGAAACTAAATTATTTTTATATTAGTCATCAAACTTGAATTGTGGTTAAAAAAATGATACTAGTTTACAGGGTTTTATATCTAGACAATTTGGAAGGAATTTTCCATCTTAAATCTGAATTTGTATTCAGAAAAATTCACGTCTGAGAAAAAAAAATCATCAAACTCTCTCAATTTTGGTTGTATACCATATTAATTAAAACTTTTTATTCTGTTTTTTTTTTGTCTATATGATTTTTTCTATTACTGTTTGGAAGCACAATCTAACAGCGAGAGTGAGGAGGGCTAAGCACGACGACACAGAGTTTAGTGGTTAGAACACCCTCCCAGCAACTAAAGAAAAAGATCAATTCTTTTATAGTTACTGTACCATTTTTTATTCTCGGAAACTAGATGGAATTTTTTGATTAATGAATTTTTCAAAAATTTTTCAAAAAATTCATTTGGCTAAAAACCATAAAGAAATGTTATTTTTAAAATTTGTAAAGTAGTGTTATTAATATGCATTTTTAAAGAAGGCGGATGTTTTATAGATCTTTTACATATGCGTGTTGGTCAAAATTCATTATGCTGCTATTGTGCTATAGGTAAACAAAGTTACAAGGAAAATCGAACAGATTTTATTAAAACTGATAAAGCGAAGCGAAGCTCTGCATTTGTTTTTATCTAATTTTTGATATGATAGTTAATAATGTTTGTTTTAAAAAGGTAAAAAAAATGTCAGAATGTCAGAATCGATGTAAGGTATCGAATCTTATCGAATCAAACAAACAATTTTGCTTTTTATTGTAATGAGAAAACTAAAAGAAAATTAATTTTTTGTGTAAACAAAGTTTTTGGGATGCTGTTCATTTATTATAAAGTTAATTCTGTTGCATTAAATTGATGATGATAATGAGAAAGACGTGAGATTTTTTACTTCCCATCCGTAATTTAACGAGTACATATGTATTACAATAGGGTTATCGAGTGACTGGCTACTTTCATGTTTTCTCGACGTTTCCTGATTTTTATTCTCAGGTAATCTCCAAAAAGACCGTACGGATTGTTGTCAAATTTTATACGTATGTTAAGAACATCAGAACATCGTGTGGTCGGGAAAACGCCAACCAAAATTTTCAGACCACTTCCATCAGCAATTTGATAATACCCTCTCCTGAATTGGCGTAGTAAAGGTTGTCTAAATTTTATGAATTAACATTTTCTGTATTCGTAGTTTATGAGTCCGCCTTGACAATTTTTTGTAATATTTTTCATGTTTTCTGCGTAAACTATATATCGTTTTTGCCGAGTGGGTTCACCGATGGATTCTCAGACTTTACTCCGTGTGGGTTCTAATCCCACGATTACCAAATATTATTACTTCCTGAGCGTAAGTTAATCGATGTCAATTTTTGTTAGACACATAACCTCTGAAACCACTGGACTGATTGTTGTCAAATTTTGTATGTGTAATAGGAATAACATGTGGATAGTAAAACGCTAACCAAAATTTGGGTAACTCCCCGTCAATAATTTGATGGCGTCATTTCAAAGAAGTCTATTTTAAAATGATTTAAATGCTATATAATGATATACTTCTACAGTTGTGGTGTACGAGTCCGTTCGATGCCAAACTTGGCCCATTCTTTTTTTCTTTCGCGCTGTTGTATCTATGTTGATGACGTCATAATATTTGGTTCGATTGTGGCTCAATTAATAATTTTGGTCCTCTTTTTGAGGAGACAAACTCATTCAAATCAAGCAAATTTATACATAACATTCTTTCGATATAAAAACATATACATTTGAAGTTAAGCTTGTTAATATTGCTGAGAGGACATTTTTTCTTGTTGGTTATCTGCTTTAGATATATTTTACATCGTCCGTACTTGTGTGGCGTCCCCTTGGATTTTGCGCTCCCACTGTGCAAGGTCTACAGGGGTGTTCTTTATGCCGCTGGGTTTTAGGTTATAGAGGTTATCACAAAACGAAAATTGCAAAATCAAATTTTATATTTTTTTAAAGAGAGGGGGTTTGTCGGATTATGCTTCAAGGGCAAGGACCACTTTTTTTACAACGTAGCTGGAATTATGTATATTTTTTCCTTGTAAAATCATCATAAAAAAAAGTAAAACCAGTTGGAAAGTCTTGTATAAGTAACCTTAGACCATTTTTCTCTAGTAGTTTTTTATAAGACAGAAGATTGCGGATTCCCTATTATAGTTATTGAACAAATTTTTTGACACTCTAATTCAAGTCGATTAAATTAAAAGATTATCCAGAAAATATGTGATATTTTCCTATGCAACATGTTTGAATGACTAATAAATGAATAATTGTAATGGGATTCGGAGGATTAATGCATGAAACACAATTCATAATTAAATTTTTATTAGATTGTCAAAACTGATTTTTAAAATATCAGTTTTACAGCGATTAAATATTGAAAGGTTTTGTTTAATCACTGGTTAAACGTAAGGTTGCGTTTAATCAGTGTAAAACGTTTACTATTGGTCAAAATTCAAATTTTCTTGCCTTTGGATTGGTTATATGCATTAATCGATTTAAAAATCTATAAAAATAAAGAGGGAAGTAGTACCAGACAAAGTATTTTTTCATCAACAATTTTCAGAATGTTTGATAGAAATAATGCTTATATTTAATTCTCAATTTTGCCATATTTAAAGAAGAGGTCTGAATTTTTGCACAAAAATCTTTAATTTCTTCATTTTGAAAACTATATAAAATTTCAAGGGTGTTTGATTTATTTAAATAGGATTATTAAATTTACAAATGGTCAGTTTTCCGATATTTTTCGAATGAGTCACCCTCTATTAGCTTATCTCTAAGTAATTCTCAATTTTGCCATATTTAAAGAAGAGGTCTGAATTTTTGCACAAAAATCTTTAATTTCTTCGTTTTGAAAACTATATAAAATTTCAAGGGTGTTTGATTTATTTAAATTGGATTATTAAATTTACAAATAGTCAGTTTTCCGATATTTTTCGAATGAGTCACCCTCTGTTAGCTTATCTCTAAGTAAACTTCTTTTGATGCCAAATTTCTTGAGATTTATCCTGATATATATTTTTTTTTTGTTTATGGCCAGTAAACCCAAATAATAAACCTACTATCAAAAGAATTTCGCAACAAGTTCGAAAAACAGGTGTCCCATTTGAATAATTTGAAAAAATTGATAATTTGCAAATTCAATCACCCTATATCGTAATCTTGTTCAATTTTTTGCATGTTTGTTCAGTCAAGTGACTAAAAGGTTTTTTGCACAAAATTACCT